TTATTTTTCGTTTTTATTTTTAATTAATCCGACGACGGGCCTCTACAAGTAAATAAACAGTAGTTTTTCTTGCATACTCCTGAGGTGAGGGAATTTTCTCAATTTTCTGCTAAAAGTATTAGAGTCAATTGAGAATAATTTCCGTAATTAATTACTTGGCTGATTTGATTTTTTTTTTCTTTAATTAATCCGACGACGGAGCCTCTGCAAGTGAAACAGTAGTTTTTCTTGCATACTCCTGAGGTGAAGGGAATTTTCTCAATTTTCTGCTAAAAGTATTAGAGTCAATGAGAATAATTTTCGATAATAATTAATTGGTTGATCTGATTTTCTTTAATTAATCCGACGACGGAGCCTCTGCAAGTGAAACAGTAGTTTTTCTTGCATACTCCTGAGGTGAGGGAATTTTCTCAATTTTCTGCTAAAAGTATTAGAGTCAATTGAGAATAATTTTCGATAATTAATTAATTGGTTGATCTTGATTTTTCTTTAAATAATCCGACGACGGAGCCTCTGCAAGTGAAACAGTAGTTTTTCTTGCATACTCTTGAGGTGAGGGAATTTTCTCAATTTTCTGCTAAAAGTATTAGAGTCAATTGAGAATAATTTTCAACAACTAACTACTTGGTAAAATTTTAAGGCTTTTGGATAACACAAATTCAAGCTGGTACCATCTTTTGATGGGCGTTGTGAGGGTGCTATAACCTTCCTCACACGTAACCGAACTCCCGAACTCTGTTCTGGTTAAGCAGACCCGAACCTATTCTTTTAGGGACCCTTAAGCTTAGGTGTTCCCTAAAAGGGCAGATTCCTTAGGTGGCCAATCACACCTGGATAAAAAAAGATTGGTGGCGACTCCCTAAAGTCAATGTCTGGCGATAGATCCCCGGATCTAGACGTTATGACAGCTTGGCGACTCCACTGGGGACCTTGAGAGTCAGGCCAGCAAATAATTTGTGTTATCCAAAAGCCTAATAAAATTGAACCTTTTTGTATATATGTATTATTATTCATTCATGTCTGTTAATTATGTCATTCATATGCATGTGCATAACATGAGCTCTACACCCGAGCTCCGTCCCTTTAGGAGGGAGTAAAGTACCTATTGCTTTCGTGAGGTCTAATGCCTCCGCAGTGGCTAGCGAAATACTCCCACTCAAATTGAACCTTTTCCGCTTGTAGCCTGTAATGGGTGAGGATTAGGGTGCCTTACTAGTCTGTGATGGACAAGGATGTAAGGAACAATTTGAGGACCTTTAGACTTTGACCCTAAAACCGCATATAGTGAACTTTAAGAGTGCCTAACCCATAGATAGAGCCATCACCCTTCCCTGTTAGAATTGACCAAAAGCATAGGATTCATCCTTTTTACTTTGTGTGATGTTTAAATTTATTTAGTTATTTATTCTTTTTCTGGGTATACTAACCTTTTTTTTTTTCTTTTGCATTGGTTCATGTGCACATCATAAAGTTGCATAAAGAACATTTGCCTGAAAAACGGTCTTCAACAAATTTTTTTCATGGACACCAATGAACGCCTAGTTTGTTCTTCATCAGTATTAGCACCCTGTGGGACACCTAATGAGGTAAGGGCCTTGTCAGAAAAGACCCAACTGAAGATGGGAGATTGCTTGCCAATTGGGTATGAGTCTACTCTGTCTCAAGAAACATCTATCCTCCTCAAACAGAATAATTTAGAAGATTTGGTTGACATCTGGAAGAAGATGAGTCCGTCAAGACAAGAGCAGTTTTGTCAGAAACATGGGCATATAGCACACCTTCTAGCAGTGGCTGTTGATGATCAACTAATTAGAGCTGCAACACAATTCTGGGATCCTACATACAGGTGTTTCATCTTTAATGAAGTTGATATGACTCCCACCATAGAAGAATATTCGGTCTTGTTGGGTTTGTATCTCAAGACTCCTGACAAGATATATGTCAAAAAGCATAAGTCAGGATTTCGTAAAAGTCTGGCTCAACTCATGGGGATAAACAAGGAAGTTGTGGATTCTCATACAAAGAAGAAACAGGAACAGGTCTGCCTACCTTGGAAGTTCTTTCATGAGTTTCTGATGCAACATGCCAATGAAGAACGGGGGTTGGACATATTTGCCTTGGCTATATACGGACTGGTAATCTTTCCAAAGGTTTTGGGACATATTGAGATAGAGGTAGTTGATTTCTTCGAGAGTGTGATCAATGGCTGTAATCCCTCAACGGTGATATTAGCAGAGACTATCAGATCCTTGAGTTATTGTCGTCGGAATGGAGGGCGCTTCATAGGATGCATACAGTTATTGTATGTGTGGATGAAAAGCCATTTCGAACATGGAAATGGTGCTTTCTCGAAGATTTATATCCGTAATCGCTTTCCGATCAAGGAATTCTGCGAAAGTGGTTGGTCAAAGCGGAGGTCTAAACAAGAATGGATAACTTTCTTACAAAAATTGGAAAGTGCCAGGGTGAGATGGTTAGCCCCATGGATGAATCGTGAGCCTATGTTATACCAATGTGGGATAGTACAGAGGTTCCACTTCTGGGTTTATGGGGAGTGACGAATTATGCACCGCTCCTAGTAAGGAGGCAATTGGGGGGAGAACAGTTCATTCCTGTGACTTATGGGCTTCATCAGTTAGATTTCTCTTACAGTGAGCCTAAAGCATTTCAGAGGATGAATGAGATGATCAAAGCATGGAAAAATCCCCAAAGAGTGAGTCCTGGACCATTCACTGAAAAAGTCACCCCAGGTTACTTGGTTTGGAGAGCAAAGAGAAGACAAGAAATGGTATTCACTTATGAAATCTCTCAACCACCAACAGAAGAAAGACTTGAAGAGACACCATCAGAGTTAGAACTGACAACAAAAGAATTTGAGTCTGAAAAGAGCCAGTTAAAGCAAGAGATTCAGAAACTTCAAGAAGAAAAAGCCCAGTGGAAAGGTAGAGCCGAAAGATATGAAGTTGAAGTTCACAAGATTGCTAGAGAACGTGATACAGCTACTGAAGATCTAGCAAAGTTACACCAGGAGCATAAGAGGCTATGTGTGAGGGAAAGAGCCAAAGGGATAACCATTACCGAGCTGACTGAGGAAAATACAAGATTGAAGCAAGAGTATACCGAATTGGAAGAAGAAAGTACCGAAGCACAGGCAGAACTTAACATGCTGAACAGTTATTTGAGCGGGCTAAGTCAAAGGTTGGAAGAACAAGGAGATCGCATCGCTGCACTGGTCAGAGAACATAGAGAATTATCATACCAAGTCTGGTGTGGTAAAAGAGAGAACCTAGGAAGGCAAAAATACATTGAGCACTTAACAACCCAGATCCATAAAGGGGTATGTAAGGCAAAAGAGATGGTGGAAGAGGCAGAAGCATTAAGACAAGTGGTGGCCCCAGTAGGAGAACATGGACAGCGTCTGTTGAACTTCATAGAAGAAGCCAAAGCCCAGTATGAACAGATCAAACAATTTTATGGCTATAATTCTAGAGGGATAAACTCAATGTAGATCAAAGTTTTTTGGAATAAATGAAATTTTTTTAGTTGAATACCGTTTTAAGGCAAATGTTCTCTGCATACATGCATTTTTCATTCATTGCATTCTCATTCATTACACTTTAACCATGTGATAATCATGCAAAGTTACTAATTCTGAGGTATGGTACTCAAGGTTCCAAGGATAGCTCCATCTAGCGAAAACCCTGCCCATCGTTTCAACACAAGATCCAGAGCAAGGCAAATGGAGCAGGAAAATTCTCATAGATTCGAAAAGCTAGAAAAAGCTCAGGAGAAGATTGAAAGTGAGCTAAGCAAGATTCTGGAGGCTCTAAATAACATGAACAAAGGAAAAGGAGTTGAAGGAAGTACAAGCCAGCAAGAAGTGGCTGACCCTTTGTACCCTCCAGGTTTTGGCCCGCCTCAAGCTCCGTCTGCCCAAGAGTCCCACCACAACATTTCGCATATCCAACATATCCTGGAATGCCATCAACTTTCAACCCAGGGCAGTATAACAGTTATATAAATCCTGTCTTCACTGAAAAGGCAGTAGAACCAATTCCTGATCTAGATGATTTAAAAGAGAAGGAGAAGGAAAAGATGAGAGTGGAAGCTGAGGAGAGTTCCAAGATTAGCATGCTAGAGCAAAGGCTAAGGGCCGTGGAAGGATTTAGCTTCTATGGGTCAGTTGATGCTGCGGGGCTCTGCCTAGTTCCTGATGTGGTTATCCCCCATAAGTTCAAGGTACCAAAATTTGAAAAATATGATGGTACAAAGTGCCCCAAAACCCATATCACCATGTATTGCAGGAAGATGGCAGCTCATGCACAGGATGAGAAACTCTTGATGCATGTTTTTCAAGACAGTCTTACTGGTTCTGCGGCCAGATGGTATGTTCAACTGGACAGGACTCGCATTCGCTCTTGGAGCGATATGGCGCATGACTTTATCAGTCAATACCGACATATCATCGATTTGGCTCCAGATCGTTTGTCTTTACAGAATCTGGAGAAAAAGACAAACGAATCTTTTAAAGAGTATGCCCAGAGGTGGAGAGATATTGCTTCTCAGGTACAGCCTCCTCTGACCGAGAAAGAAACTACAGTGCTATTTGTTAGCACTTTAAAACCTCCCTATTATGAAAAGATGATAGGGAATGCAACAAAGAATTTTGCCGATATGGTAATTTCAGGAGAAATCATTGAAAGTGCCATCAAGAATGGCAAGCTAGAAGGGAATGAAGCATCTAGCAAAAGAATCCCAAAGAAAAAAGAAACTGAAGCTCAGGCTGTGAGCTTTGATAGACAGCAACTTAGGGGTTATTCGCCCTACCCCCCACCAGAATATCTGCCCTATCACCCCACTGTAAATAACACTTCTTTTCACCCATACCAACCACCATACCCCCAAACCTATCAAACCTCTCATAGACCCCAAAACACCATGTACAGTTCTAACATTCAACCCACCCCAAAACCACAAATTCGCCCAACTAACCCTGCTGGTGGCTCGCGGGAGCAACGAACCACTCGCGAAAGACCTATTTTTGACCCTATTCCCATGACCTATACGGAATTATACAAGGAGCTCTACAACAATCATTTGATTGCTCCAAGTAAATTGGAACCCCTCAAGCCACCTTACCCTAAGTGGTATGATCCCACTGCCCACTGTGACTACCATTATGGGATTGCTGGTCACTCCACCGAAAATTGCACTACCCTGAAATATAAAGTGCAACGATTGATTAAGGATGGGATGATTTGCTTTGATACTGGAGGGATGACTGCACCAAATGTTAGTGGCAATCCTTTGCCAAATCATAATGTGAATGCTATAGGTGAAGAGCATGAGCGCCATGTGAAGAAAGAAGTGGTAGATATTAAGACACCTCTCGATCAGTTGTTTGATGTCTTACGAAAGGCAGACATGATGCAACTGGTAAGTCCACACAGCTATCATGGAGCATATATAGCTGGTACTAGTTGTAAGTATCATAGTGGGGCAAGAGGCCACTCCATTGAGACCTGTAAACAATTTCACCGAGAGGTGCAAAAACTCCTGAATTCACATCAGATAGAGGTCTACGAAGAAAAAGAAAGCTTGAAGAATGCTGAGGTGTGCATGAATGATAGGCCTGAAAAGCTGTTTCCCAAACCAGTGACAATTCGGTGTGGAAACAAACCAAAATCAGTCATAGACAAGCTCCTCCCTAGGCCGGTAACTTTTAAAGTCCCAACTCCTTTCCCATACAAAGATGATAAAGCTGTACCCTGGAGATATGGATGTGACGCTGTAGTGCAGGGGCAAAAAGAAGAGGTCTCCAAAGCCGATGCTTCTAACATTACTGGTGTAGGAGGCATTACTCGAAGTGGGAGATGTTACACCCCAGAAATGCTAGAGAAGGCTAGAAGAGAGAAGGCTAAAGAAGGAGAAAGACGAAATAATCCAGAGATAGAGCCTGAAGAAGATCAGCCAAAGCCAGTATCAGAAAGGGAGGTTTGTGAATTCCTGAAGCTGGTAAAACATAGTGAATATTCAGTTGTGGAACAGTTGAATAAAATGCCAGCTCGAATCTCATTGTTATCACTGTTGCTGAATTCAGAGCCACATCGAAATGCCTTGCTGAAAGTGTTGAATCAGGCATACGTGGCACATAACGTGTCTGTCGAATATGTGAATCACTTGGCTGGAAACTTAGTCATGCCAAATCACATTTCATTCAGTGATGATGAGATTTCTTTGGAGGGAAAGAGAAATGCTAAGGCCTTGCATATCACAGTAAAGTGCCAGAGCCATATCATAGCTAAAGTCCTTATCGATAATGGTTCTGCCATCAATGTCATGCCTATGTCAACTTTGGCAAGGCTACCCATCGATTATTCTCATATGCGAGATAGTCAGATGATTGTGAGAGCCTTTGATGGAACCAGAAAAGAAGTCCTGGGGGATATTGAGATGCCCTTACAAATTGGGCCGTGCACCTTCAATATAAAATTTCAAGTGATGGATATCTCTCCATCCTACAGCTGTCTGTTAGGAAGGCCATGGATTCACATGGCAGGAGCTGTACCCTCTACTTTGCATCAGAAGATCAAATTCAATGTGAAAGGTCAATTAGTAGTGGTAGTTGGGGAGGAAGACATGCTAGTGACCCAACCATTGAACACTCCATATGTAGAGGCTGCCGAAGAAGCATTGGAGTGCTCCTATCGATCTTTTGAATTGGTCAATACTGTAGGTGAAGGATTTCAAAGTCAGCCTTTTTCAAAGATAGTGGTGAGCCAAGTCATCAACAAAGGCTGGTGTCCAGGACTTGGGCTAGGCAAAAATTTGCAGGGAATTAAAGAACCTCCGACAATAGCGGACAATAGCGACAGGGCAGGCTTAGGATACGAGATGGCAGAGTGGGAAGTCAAAAGAAGGCCATCAAGAAAGACAGCAAGACTGATGTTTATCCCACAATTGTACGAAACCTTCAGACCTGGAGGATTTATGAACCCAGATGCAAAGAAAAGTGTGGAAGAGGACTTTGCCCAGTTAGCCATTAATGCTGTTGAAGATGAAGTGGGCTCAACAAAGAAGAATGGGTTCGCCTTTGTCCACAAGACTATGAGCTGAACAATTGGAGTGCCATTGAAATGCCTCTGACTTTTGATTTTGATTCAATGTAATTGTAACATCTCAATAGCTTTTGCCCAAGGCTATGGGGTGATCCTTTTTGTTTGGGCCATTCATCATTTATTATTTTTAATAAAAAATAGGGAGGATGCATTTACATTCATTTCTTCTCATGCCTTCATTATTTTCACCTTTCAAACACATCTTGCCAACATATCCCATTTCATTCAATTTCAGGTCTTTAAATGAACAAGAAGATAATCATGATAACCATCAAGAGGTTAACTTTGAGAATTCAATTAATACTGATGAACTTGACAATGAAGAGAATTCTGAAGAATATGTTATGTCTCCGGACCTAATGAGGATGATTGAACAAGAGAATAAGCCAATTGAGCCTTATCAGGAGGTAGTGGACTTAGTGAATCTGGGAGATGAAGAAAATAAGAAAGAGGTTAGAATGGGCACTTCACTTCCATCTGGAGATAGGCGACGGTTGGCAGACCTACTTCAAGAATTTATAGATATATTCGCTTGGTCTTACCAGGATATGCCAGGACTGAGCACAGAGATAGTGGAGCACAGATTGCCCCTAAAGTCAGAATGTAAGCCCGTTCAGCAGAAACTGAGACGGATGAAGCCCGAAATGCTGCTAAAGATTAAAGAGGAGGTGAAGAAACAATTTGATGCAGGTTTTCTGCAAGTGGCCAAGTATCCAGAATGGGTAGCCAATATAGTCCCAGTTCCTAAGAAAGATGGAAAAGTACGAATGTGTGTAGACTATCGGGATTTGAATAAGGCTAGCCCAAAGGATAACTTTCCTTTACCTCATATCGACACACTGGTAGATAACACAGCTAAGCATTCGATTTTCTCCTTTATGGATGGTTTCTCGGGGTATAATCAGATAAAAATGGCTGCAGATGATATGGAAAAGACTACTTTTGTGACCATGTGGGGAACTTTCTGCTACAAAGTCATGCCTTTTGGGTTAAAGAATGCTGGGGCAACATATCAAAGGGCTATGGTAACACTCTTTCATGACATGATGCATAAAGAGATTGAGGTGTATGTAGACGATATGATTGCAAAGTCTTGTGAGGGTGAAGATCATGTTACTAGCCTCAGAAAGTTATTTGAGAGGTTAAGGAAATTTCAGCTCAAATTAAACCCAGCCAAGTGCACCTTTGGGGTAAAGTCAGGGAAGTTGCTAGGCTTTGTGGTCAGTGAAAGAGGAATTGAAGTTGATCCCGATAAGATACAGGCCATCCAAAATTTGTCACCTCCCAGCACGCCAAGAGAAGTTCGAGGTTTTCTGGGGAGATTGAACTACATCTCTCGGTTTATCTCTCAGCTTACTTACAAATGTGATCCCATATTTAAGCTTCTCCGTAAGAATAATCCTGGGAAATGGAACGAAGAATGTCAAGAGGCATTTGATAAAATTAAGCAGTATTTATCGAACCCTCCAATATTGGTGCCACCTGTTCCAGGAAGACCTTTAATTCTGTACCTAACTGTAAATGAAAATTCAATGGGATGTGTGCTGGGGCAGCAAGATGAAGCTAGCCGAAAGGAGAGAGCTACTTACTATCTGAGTAAAAAGTTCACGGAATATGAATCCAAGTATTCTTCATTGGAGAAAATGTGTTGTGCATTAGCGTGGACTGCCAAAAGACTCAGACAGTATATGCTTTATCACACTACGTGGCTCATAGCAAAATTGGATCCAATTAAGTATATCTTCGAGAAGCCTTCTTTGTCAGGAAGAATCGCTAGATGGCAAGTAATGCTCTCAGAATATGACATTATATATGTGAGCCAAAAAGCAATAAAAGGAGGCGCTATAGCAGAATTTCTTGCAGATCGTGCTACTGAAGAGTATGAGCCGATGAAGCTGGAATTCCCTGACGAAGACTTAATGACTATTTCCCGACTGGAGGAAAGGGAGCATATGGAAAGATGTTGGAGAATGTACTTTGATGGAGCTGCTAACGCCTTGGGGCATGGAATTGGGGCAATTTTGATTTCTCCAGAAGAACAATACTATCCTGTAACAGCGAGGTTAAATTTTAATTGCACAAATAACATCGCTGAGTATGAGGCATGTGTCATGGGCCTGCAAGCTGCTATAGAAAGAAGAGTGAAAGTACTGAAAGTATTTGGAGACTCAGCTCTAGTCATATACCAGTTGAAAGGAGAATGGGAGACGAGAGATTCAAAACTCGTTCCGTATCATAAGTATATTCTAGAGCTGACAAAACAATTTGAAGATGTCCAGTTCGATCACTTACCCCGGGAAGAGAATGTGATTGCTGATGCATTGGCTACTCTGGCCGCGATGATTCGAATTAATCATAATACGGACATTCAGCCCATCAAGTTAGATGTTAAGGATATACCAGCGTATTGTTCTAATGTAGAGGGGGAAAGAGATGGAAAACCCTGGTATTATGACATCTTACAGTATGTCAAGGATCAGCAGTATCCAGTTCATGCAACAGAAAATGATAAAAGGGTCATCCGAAGATTGGCTATGAGCTTTTTCCTGGATGGGGATGTCCTGTACAAAAGAAGTAAAGATCAAGTATTATTGAGGTGTGTAGATGAGACTGAAGCGAAGAAAATCATTAAAGAGGTGCATGAGGGAATATGTGGGGCACATGCTAGTGGACATATGATGGCAAGACAGATCATGAGAGCGGGATATTACTGGTTGACGATGGAGAATGATTGCATCGACTATGCTCGTAAATGTCATAAATGCCAGATATATGCTGATAAGATCCTTGCTCCACCATCTGCTTTACATGTTATGGCACCATCATGGCCATTTTCAATGTGGGGCATGGATGTCATTGGTCCAATCACTCCAAAAGCTTCTAACCGGCACAGATTCATTTTTGTGATGATAGATTACTTCACAAAGTGGGTGGAAGCAGCATCATATGCAAATGTGACACGCTCCGTGGTTTGCAAGTTCATAAAGAAAGAGATCATTTGTAGATATGGACTTCCGGAGAGAATTATTTCAGACAATGCCAAGAATCTAAATAGTAAGATGATGCAAGAAATATGTGCTCAATACAAGATCAAGCATCATAACTCGGCACCTTATCGTCCGAAAATGAATGGGGCAGTTGAGGCAGCCAATAAGAACATAAAGAGGATTCTGGAGAAGATGACCGAGACTTACAAAGATTGGCATGAGAAGTTGCCATTTGCCTTGCTTGCATATCGAACGTCAGTTCGCACCTCTACTGGGGCAACCCCATTTTCTTTGGTTTATGGGATGGAAGCTGTACTACCAGTGGAAGTAGAGATCCCCTCTTTGAGAGTCTTAAAAGAAGTTGAGTTGGAAGAGGCTGAATGGATTCGAGAACGTTATGAGCAGTTAAATTTCATAGAAGAAAAGAGATTGACTGCGTTGTGCCATGGTCAGCTATATCAAAGAAGAATGATGAGGGCTCATGATAAGAAGATTCGGCCCCGTTGCTTTCGAGAAGGAGAGTTGGTTTTGAAAAGAATTCTCCCAATCCAGCACGATGGTAGAGGAAAATGGACTCCGAATTGGAAAGGGCCGTATGTGGTAAAACGGGCTTTTTCGGGTGGAGCATTGATACTGACTGAGATGGATGGAAATGATTTACCCCATTCTGTAAATTCTGATGCTGTGAAGAAATACTATGCTTGAAAAAAAAATAAAAAAATAAAAATGAGAAAAATGAAAAAATGAAAAAATGAAAAATGATGAAAAAATGAAAAAATGGAAAAAAGAAAAAGTGAATGAAAAAGGAGGACTCAAGGCGAAAACCCAAAAAGGGCGGTTTGAGTCATAGGGGTTTGTCTAAGTTGAAAACCTGAAAAGGCAGCTTAGATAAGGAGGATACAGCATCGAATTTAAAAGTCTGCTGATATGGGGGCCAACAAGTTCGGAAGAGTTCCAAGTTGTTAAATACATCAGAGGGTTGAGTTTTCAGAAAAGACTTTGAGATGTGTTATCATGATTATCTGATTGTTCATTTTGGGCTTTGTCCCCATACCTATCCTTGTAATTCTTCCTTAATCAAAGTTTGCCAACATTTTGCTAATAAGAGACATTCTATTCCATTCTTTGTGTCTTTTTTTCTTATGACTGTTTCTCAACATTCAGATTCTTTTCTTCTTAATACCCCACCATTGAAGAAATGTGCAAATGCATTCTTACTTTTTGAATTTGAAATAATGATTGATGAATGAATAACAACAGGAAAGATTTTTACATTACATTGAATGAGTCAAGAGTGAAAAAGGCAGAATCGACATGTTCAGTTCCTAATTAGGAAATTGAATCTAGGAAGAGATTTCTTACAAGAAGAATGTGAGTGAAAGAGACAATTGAGAGCTACACTGGTTCGATCTTAGAAGAGCAGGGCAATTGGATCCTTGATGAATCCAAGGGCTTGACACCCAAGAAAGAAAAAAGAGCTTGAGAAACTTGAGTACCATACATTGAACAGGAATTAATTGACCAACATTTGCATAGCATGCATTGAAATTCATATGCATTTGCATAGCATACACTACTTTCAGGAAAGTATAGTGTACAAATTCAAGAAGCAGGGGTGTTCCAACATCCCACATGAAAAAGACAGATATAAAAAGACTTTGCAAGTTTGAGAAGAAACTTGTCAGGTAAGTTCCTAATCCTCGAAATAGGATGTCTCTTGGTATCAGGGTTGATTTATAAGACCTTTGGGCATAATCTCCTGAAATCCCTTCAAACACAACTTTCAACTCCTTCGGACATGATTGTCTAGGAGTATTTACTTTCCAAAGTTCGTTGCCTCTGTTGAGAGGAGCAATTTACTTTTCAAAGTCGTGGTACCTCTGTTTAGAGGAGCAATTTATTTTTCCAAAGTCGTGGTACCTTTGTTGAGAGGAGCAATTTACTTTTCAAAGTCGTGGTACCTCTGTTTAGAGGAGCAATTTATTTTTCCAAAGTCGTGGTACCTCTGTTGAGAGGAGCAATTTACTTTTCAAAGTCGTGGTACCTCGGTTTAGAGGAGCAATTTATTTTTCCAAAGTCGTGGTACCTCTGTTGAGAGGAGCAATTTACTTTCCAAAGTTCGTTGCCTCTGTTTAGAGGAGCAATTTTAATCTTTGGTCCAAAGTCGTGGTGCCTCTGTTTAGAGGAGCAATTTATTTTTCAAAGTCGTAGAGCCTCTGTCAAGAGGAGCTAAAAAAAAAAAAAAAAAAAAAAAAAGTCGAGTCGGGTCTTGACTGGGTGTCTACGTCTTTGCGCAATTTCTGTTTCACAGAAAATACGCAAAGAGGGGCAGCTGTAGACACCCAATCAGGTCCGGGCCCGGATCAATTGGGCCTGACCCGGATCAATTGGGCCTGACCCAGATCATTTGGGCCTGGCCCAAATGGGCAAGGCCCAATTGAATTTTTACCCGTATTTTTTTATTTTTTATTTTTATTTTATTTTTTTTCTCTCTCTTGTGTATTTTATTATTTATTATTATGTATTAATATATGTATATATATATATATTTTTTTTTTCATTAGAATAGATTTATATGTATATAGTTATATATTTATTATTATTATATTATTATTCTTATCTTTTTTTTTTAATTATCTGTTCTGATTTTTTCTGATTTTCAGATATTATTTGAAAATTTTTTATCTTTTGATTTATCTTTCCAATTATCTAGATTTTTTTTTAATTTTATTTTAATTTTTATTTTGGAGGGCTAGGATTCAAAGTTGAAGACTCCCACTCTGAAGGGGAATTCAATCAGAAGAGTCCAATTGGATTCAAAGACTGAATTCCCGTCCAAAGAGGAATTGGGATTGATCAGAAACTCCTGATCAATCCCTATAAAAGGGACCCCCCTGGAGCAGTCAAGACACAGAGAAAACAGAAGCAAAAGCTACTGATTGAGAGAATAGGGGTGTTTAGAGAGCTAAGGAAAAGTTTAGGAGTGTTCTGGCAGTGAAAAAATTTTTTAGAAAAATTTGGCGAAAAAATTTTCTGGAAATTTCTAGGAAATTTCCAGATTCCGGCGAAAATTCCGACGACTTTTGAATTTTCCGGTGACAATTTCGGCAAACTTTGAAGTTTCCGGCGACAGACCCAGTTTCCGGCGGAGAATCCCAGAAACCGGCGACCATCCGGCCAACTTTCGGCCAATTTCCGGCGAAATTCCCAGATTCCGGCGAATTTTCCAGAATCCGGCACCGGCGTTCTTCAAATTCTAGAGAGAAGGCAGAGAAGAAGGGAAGAAGAGAGAGAGAGGGGAGGAACGGTCTGCTGAAAAACGGAGGAAGGTGCCTTTTATACCCTCCCAAAACGACGTCGTTTTGGCTTTAAGTTAATAAGAGGATCCGCGCGTTTTGCCGAACCCGACCCGACCCGAAGCGTCGACCCGCTTTTTGACCCGCGCGTTTCAGCCCCTCCGAGCCGAGCCGAGCCGAGCCGAGCCGCACCAAGCCGAGCTGCGATCCGAGCCGCTCCAGGTTTTTTTTTTTTTTTTTGAATTTTTTTGAATTTTTTTTTTATTTGACTTTGATTTTGATCTTGATTTTTTTTTCTTTATTCTTTAATTAATCCGACGACGGAGCCTCTACAAGTAAAAACAGTAGTTTTTCTTGCATACTCCTGAGGTGAGGGAATTTTCTCAATTTTCTGCTAAAAGTATTAGAGTCAATTGAGAATAATTTCCGATAATTAATTACTTGGCTGATTTTGATTTTTTTTTCTTTAATTAATCCGACGACGGAGCCTCTGCAAGTGAAACAGTAGTTTTTCTTGCATACTCCTGAGGTGAGGGAATTTTCTCAATTTTCTGCTAAAAGTATTAGAGTCAATTGAGAATAATTTTCGATAATTAATTAATTGGTTGATCTTGATTTTTCTTTAATTAATCCGACGACGGAGCCTCTGCAAGTGAAACAGTAGTTTTTCTTGCATACTCCTGAGGTGAGGGAATTTTCTCAATTTTTTGCTAAAAGTATTAGAGTCAATTGAGAATAATTTTCGATAATTAATTAATTGGTTGATCTTGATTTTTCTTTAAATAATCCGACGACGGAGCCTCTGCAAGTGAAACAGTAGTTTTTCTTGTATACTCTTGAGGTGAGGGAATTTTCTCAATTTTCTGCTAAAAGTATTAGAGTCAATTGAGAATAATTTTCAACAACTAACTACTTGGTAAAATTTTAAGGCTTTTGGATAACACAAATTCAAGCTGGTACCATCTTTTGATGGGCGTTGTGAGGGTGCTATAACCTTCCTCACACGTAACCGAACTCCCGAACTCTGTTCTGGTTAAGCAGACCCGAACCTATTCTTTTAGGGACCCTTAAGCTTAGGTGTTCCCTAAAAGGGCAGATTCCTTAGGTGGCCAATCACACCTGGATAAAAAAAGATTGGTGGCGACTCCCTAAAGTCAATGTCTGGCGATAGATCTCCGGATCTAGACGTTATGACAACGTGTAAATTTAATTATTTAATTAAATTATAATTAATTAATAATTATTCGTAACTTAAAAAAATTTGAAGTTGGATTCTAACGCTTACCATTTTTTAAAATTTTTTTAGATTATTATGTCCCTTATACTAAAAAAATTGAAGCATATTAATTAATTAGTTGACATAAGTACAAAATTGATCAAATTGAATTCGGTAATTTGGACAAATTAGGGATCTTATAGTAAACCGAATAAAACCAAGCTTTTTTATTTATTGATTACATTTTTAATAATTATAAAAAATCAAATTATCTAGTAGGAATAGTGGGATCCAAATTTCTCTCAGATGCTTTAATTTCGGATTACCCAAAACAGAAGAATTCGGAAGCCAATCCAAAATTTCAATCCAAATTTTCCACGTAGATTTTCCATTGTGGGCCCAGGTTTTGCTGATTCTTTAATTGGAAGCCACGTGTCGAAAAAATTTTATTTAAAAAATCTGTTTATAAGGCATTTATACTTTTTTTTTTTTTTTTGCATTTTTTGAAGTTTCCTTCACTCTCCCCTCTCTCTTTTCTTTTTTTCCCTTAAATTGTCCGTCCGATTGATCGCCGGAGCACCACGACCGTTAGATCCGCTGACCACATTCCGGCGATCCGTTTTTTCAGCTGACTTTCTCCAAATTTCCGATCAATCAACGGTGATAAATCCAACCATTTATGGAAGAATAAAAAACCCAATGGAAATCCTCATTATCCTTCTCCAATCTAAACTCTTTCAGATCCATTTTTGAAATTTATTATGGGCAATTGTTCCATGCATGCTGATCCATTGAAACCTCAGAATCACCATCGTTGAATTCCTAATACTAGCTCCATTAGTCAGCCTAATCCTTATTAGTTTTTTTTTGCGGGTTCAAAATGTTGAAGAAAATAATGAAAGGAGGGCATCGGAAGCCTTCCAAATCGGATTCAAATGAAGCATCTTTATACGGGTCAGGTCCAACGCCCAATGTGGTCGTCAACCACGCTTCTCGGGCCGGAACGGGCGCAGGAGGCCCAAATTACGGGGTCCCAATGGTTCCACCTCCGATGGGTGCCGTGGAACCCTTGCCGTTATTCCGAGACGTCCCCGTTTCGGAGAGACAGAATTTGTTCATGAGAAAATTACAGATTTGTTGCTTCCAACTTGATTTCTCCAACACCTTAAAATCAGTCCGAGAAAAAGAAATCAAGCGGCAAACGTTGATGGAGCTCGTAGATTTTATTCAATCCGGGTCGGGCAAAATCACGGAGATGTGTCAGGAAGAGATGATTAAAATGATCGGAATCAACATTTTCAGGTGCCTCCCTCCGGCGTCTCACGAGAACACGGGGCAAGAAGCCAAGGATCCTGAAGAAGATGAACCGTATTTGGAACCCTCATGGCCGCATTTACAGCTCGTTTACGAGCTTCTTTTGAGATATGTAGTGTCCTCGGAAACGGACACCAAGGTTGCCAAAAGATACATTGATCACTCGTTTGTTTTAAAGTTGCTTGATTTGTTTGATTCGGAGGATCCCAGGGAAAGAGAGTATTTGAAAACCATTCTTCATAGGATTTATGGTAAATTCATGGTGCATCGTCCGTTTATTAGGAAGACCATAAATAATATTTTCTATAGGTTTATATATGAAACGGAGAGGCATGGCGGGGTCGGAGAGCTTTTGGAGATTCTAGGAAGTATTATTAATGGTTTCGCGTTGCCTATGAAAGAGGAACATAAGTTGTTCCTTGTGAGAGCTTTGATTCCTTTGCATAAGCCGAAACCTGTATCTATGTATCATCAGCAGTTGTCTTATTGTATTACTCAGTTTGTTGAGAAGGATTACAAGCTGGCTGATACGGTTATTAGAGGGCTGTTGAAGTATTGGCCTTTGACTAATTGTCAAAAGGAAGTTCTCTTCCTCGGAGAACTTGAGGAAGTACTTGAAGCAACGCAGTCTGCAGAGTTCCAACGATGTATGATTCCTCTTTTCAGACAGATTGCACGTTGCCTCAATAGCTCTCATTTTCAGGTAACTTTTGAGGATTTTGTCTTTTGAATATGTCATTATGAGTTTGGGAAATTCCAATAGTTTGAGTCGTCAATCACCTTTAGGAATCATTGGTATTCAGAATTGTGGAATATGGAATTGTTGCTAGTATGTGAGGTTAAATTATTGGATTAACAACCATTACGATTATCATTGTAATTGGTTTTGATGCCAATTTTTGTTAGCTTATGATATTTCTCCAATAACTTTTGGGTGCTTCTATGTAATTTCTTGTGTTTCTGAATTTAGAATGGGATACTGATTCATGAAGCATAACCATTGGCTCTTTAGAAAGGTGCTGCAATGTACTGCATACTTTGTGTTTTATCATTTACGATTTGTTTTGGAAATTTGTGCCAAGTTGTGCTGAGTTTTGCCTAGTTTTGAACGTTATACTTGTGTTCTGTTGGCTTCATTATTTTTGCATCCATTAAAAAGGACTGTAGAGTAGCTCCGTGTCCAATTCAGTTAGCTACTAGTTTCAGCTTTCACCCATGGTGTAGTTTATCTGTGCTTGTTTGAGTGAGCTTCTGTGTCATGGTTTTGTGTTTGCTGAGATTCAGTCAAAAAGAAAAGAATCAATTGCCTTTGCTCTATGGAACGTCTTGCATCATTGATTTTCTTTTGTCTTCCTCGTTGTCTGTAGATAATGTTTTATTGCCATGCAATCAGTTGTTTATAGATCTATGATGATCCAAACATCAAATTGTGGTTGCTCAGGAAGTTCTTTATATTGTTTCCTTGTGTTTGTTCATTTTCTTGCTTAGCTGCTCATCATGACATGATTTCACCAAAATTCGAAAAACAATTTCTTCTCAAGAAATGTTCATTTTAAGTACATTTGCTGGTTTCTATACATCATACTACTTATTGCTTGGTTCCATAGATTCCTTTACAGCCCCTCTTTCCTGTAGATTCTAACATTGTAGCCTCATCATGACTCCCTTAATTATAAATCTTCAGTCTGGTGATTATATATTGATTTGTTCTCCTACCTCTTTTTTACTTATTTTCATTTTTTCCTTTGTCTTTTAGATGGCATTTTGCCATAAGTACCCTATGGTTGTATGGTGCTTAACCAGTTGTTGAGCTAAGTTTCACATATGATGGATTGCCTTTTATAAAGGAGGATAGAATGGAATTAAGGAGTTGTGGATATTTACTTTTATAAGCAAGCTTTCTACTCTGCTGATCACAATTTAGAATTGTTCGACGGAGCGGGTTGCAACAGAATTGTTGGCTTCTTTAAAACTTGCTTTTGATCTTAGTAATAAGTAAAGAACTTTCTTCAGACTTTCTTCCTAAGACCATTTTGTATTGCAGGTTGCGGAAAGGGCCCTTTTCTTGTGGAATAACGAGCACATTGTGAGCTTAATTGCCCAGAATAGACAGGCGGTGTTACCAATCATCTTTGAAGCATTGGAGAGGAATATCCAAACTCATTGGAATCAGGCAGTTCATGGGTTGACTGTGAATGTGCAGAAGATGTTCTTGGAAATGGATGCTGAGTTATTTGACGAGTGTCAGAGACAGTTTGCAGAGAAAGAGGCCAGAGCCAGAGAGATGGAAGAGCAACGAGAAATGACATGGAAGAAACTGGTAGATGCGGCAGTGGAAAGGGGGGGAGACAATATGGTTACCGTCTAACTGATTAATCACAGTTGCTCTGACAACCTAAAAAAAAACTTGGATTTGGGTTGATGGATGTGCTGCAGCTGTTCCCTTCTCCATTTTGGTGGTATTCTTTTTTTTTTCCCTTTTTTTCCCCTAATTTTTCTTTAATTTTCTTTCATATTTTTATTTTTGGTCTCAATCAGATCATTGAAAATACCCGAGAAAGAGCAGCGATAAATGTAATTTTAAAATGAATTGCATTTTTTTTGTCACGCAATTTGTTCTTCCAACGCAAAAATTATCAGATTTTTTTTAGTTTGTATTGATAGTACTTGAAATTTTCATTCTTTATGATCAAACTAGGATCAACATCCCTTGGTTTGGTCGGTTAAGTGATACTCAAAACTGACAAGACAGGCATTCTCATTACAGAGTGTCACTGTCTGAATTGTCTGTTTGATCCTGCGATGTTAGGATCGGGAGATTAGTTGCATAGAAGTTGAGATATGTGTCAGATTAGATCAGTTTCTTCTGTATCTGAAAACAATTTCAGAAAGCTGTCAAGCCGACAAGGCATGCAATCAAAAACCAATTATGGAACTGAAAATTTCACATGATCCTTGGATTTGTACTAGAAACATGTTCCTGACCCACTCGATGCCATCTTCTAGATTTTTTTTTTCTTTTCTATTTTCCTTCCCCTTTAAATTGATATTAATTAGATTTAGGAATTTATATATTTGTATTTATTTATCTTATATTTAATAATATAAAAGATAAAAATTATATTATTTAATAATAATATATCAAAATATAACATATTTTTTAATTCTTTGAAAATTTTAAATTATGTAATTTTTTATTAAAATTGACGGATCTAGTATTTAAAAATTCGCTATTGCAATTCTTAATTAAAAATAAAAAGAAAATTTCATTTATTTTATTACTAAAAATAGAAAAAGAAATTAAAATAGAGAAAAAAGGCTAGGAAAATAAAAAAAACAAATACCCTATTCATATCCATAAAATAAAGAACAGCGTCGAAAAACCAAAGCTTAAAAAACCTGGGGAAAAGGCTATCCGCAATTTCCACAGTTTCTCTATTTTCCATTCATTTCTTTGCAATATCTTCTCTTCAAGACTTCAACCAAACCCAAAGGTACTCTTCTCTTCCATTCATATTCATTCGTTTCTATCGTTAAAAAACAAAAAAAAAAACAACATAAAACTAAAAAGCATGTCGAAGAAAGGTGAAGCCTCCTTGCAAAAGGATGCTCCATGGCGGGCCTCAGCTGGAAATTCCATTCCTAAAATCCACCACTCCCCTGTTCTGCGTCTAGTTCAAACCCCACACTCCAGTTATGCCCTCGCTGTCATGAAGGTCAATCTCTTCCTTCTAATTATCTTTATAATCTTTTGTATTTCCTTTCTCTCTCTCTCTCTCTCTCTCTCTCTCTCTCCCCCCCCCCCCTCTCTCTTTAAAATATGGGATTTAAAAAAAAAAAATTTGCTGTATCCAGATCCTATAGGAAGTGGGTTAGCGACAGGGGCCATTGTGGAAGCGGCGGGACCCGAATGCATTGTCCCAGGCCAGATTACACCTATTAGATTACTTGGTCTTAAGGTATTTCATTCCTTTGGGAAACTATGATTTCTTTTTTCTAAATTTCCTGTTTAATTTCTCTCATTAAAGTGATATTTTAATACCAAAATGGTAGTAGTTGATCAATCTATTAATATTATCTGAATATTTCTCAAAATATCTAAGCTATTCTCATAATTCATAACAAGTAGTAACTTAAGTACAAGCAAAGAGAATCCCTGTGGCATGGAGTTTTGATATGAAACAGTTGTGGAAGTTTAGAGGATTTATCTAGGGTTTATGGATATTTGTCTGTTGACAGTAGCTGGTGTTAGGCCTGTTGAAGACGTTTCGAGAACATTGGCTGTTGCATTTAATTTTAGAAAGGACCCTTGTTTAATGTTTTTATATTGTGTTCCCAACCTTGGTTTCATGATCCTTTATCCTCATTCTAGTTAACTTTGGGCCATATAGTCGCTAGGCCACCTCTCTCTCTTTCTTTTGATATATCTAATTTTCTAAGCAACCATTTGATTGAATTTTCATTTTAAACTTCAAAGTTTGTATTTTTGGAAGGGTGTAACAACTTATAATTCCAATGTTTGGTCTAATCATTAATTTCATTTGAAGTATTATGCATTCTCAAAGACAACATAAACTCAAACAATGTACTTTACTGTTTCATCTTCAATGTTATGGAATTGTTACTGCCCTTTATCTTTCCCAAAGTGTTGTGTCTGTTATAGAATTGTCTTCCTTTTCTTATGTCATGGGTGTAAACCTTGCCTGGTACATATATTTTAATATATTCCTTTTTCAATATTGACAGGTGTGGCCAATTGAAGTTGACAAGAAATTTTTGGAACCTGTCAGTAAAGAACTAAAGTTTCTTGGAAAGGTAAAAGAACTGTAGTTTTAGATGCTCTTCTCTTTTCAAGCGCACACAGAGGTCCACTTATCGCGTTGCTTGCGTTCATAATAAAGAACTTTTAATGTTAATCACTTATTTTCAGAGTAAAGTTTCATTTGCAATTTGAAATTAGTCAACATAATTAAGAAAAGCTTTAAAGTGTTGAGATAGAGATGTTTGTGATGAAGCAGAAGCCTATTATTTTGTGTTTGAAAAACCTTTTATGCCCAAATACTTTTTCTAGCCAAGAGGCCAAGACATTCATATAGTTCTGGTCTTTAACATTGAGGTTGATCCGGTGGAAATGAGATTGCTCTAGTTTGTCATGCTGTGCCATTTTAAGGCAGTCCAGCCTCCTATATTGAATTTTTTTTCTGGAAAACCAAGTAATAATTTTAACCAAAGAACTACAGGAAGTTCATGTGATAAATACGACTGGAACAAAATGAGCTCAAGTACTACTTGAAACATAGTGAACTCTTCTATTCAGTCTCAGATGATCAGTCCAAAAGGCCCATGGTCTTCTCGAGGATTTTAGGACATGGGGAGTCCAATGCCCATGGTTTGGAAGGGTGGACCTGGAGCCCCTAATTTGTTGGTAGAAATGGACAGAGTGTTGTTGTGTGCATAATTTAGATAGTTTTTGCTAGTCTTTGAGATCCTAACATATTAAGAACATTACATCATCGTAGAGTAGAAGATCAGGTTGGCAAACTGAGAGTTTGCTTCAATGTGTCTTTCTTTTTCTTATATTCCTGTCTGATTCCGAAGTTCTCTTTGTACTGGAAATAAGCAAAAAAGAGAGACTTTAGGAATATGGTCTGGTTTCAGTACTTCCAAGTCATTGATTGGGGAAGTATTTTCTTTGAGCTTGGGCTCTTGTTGATGTAAAGTAAGTGAATCTGATAACAACTCATGACTGATTTGGTTACTTGCTACTACTAATGCAGTTCATGGAAGATGCTGTCAACATCATGAATAAGTCATTTATAGATCGCTAAGGGCTAAGGCTTTTTAAGCTCTTGAAAGAAGAGGGAGCAGCGAAAAGGGCTTGCAAGCTATTTTGGATTGTCGTGGCAATGAAGAGTTGCAGCATGTGGACCTGTGAGTGACTGTAAATAAGATGCTTTTACTATTTTTTTATCATTTTTCCCCCTAGAGGTGAAATAGTCTAGGTCACAAGAGATACATTGGATGATACCATAGAGGCTTTTCTATAGTTTGCGTCATAATATGTTTTTATGGATTTTTCATCCCAGAAGTCAGATACTGTGACTGGAATGTGTAGGAGTTTCCTTCACCAATCGAATAAATATGGTCCCATTGCAGTTTTCACTTAGTTTTTGTCCTTACAAATATTTCGTTGAAAGGTTCCATTGATGTGTAATCTATCATGTGCTGGCAGTTTTTTCAGTAACCAACTAATTTAGAAGGAAAACCGAGAAGCAGTTTCATTCATTTGAAGCTATGTTACTCTTCCTTTCTATGGTGTTTTTTTTTTCTTTCTTTTTTTCATTAAAGGAGGATAATAGACCCCCCAAGTTAGCAGTATTGCAGGAGTTAGGATTCAAACTGCAGCCTGCATGTTGGCCACTGTCCTAAAGGGGTTCGATGAGAGGCCGAGAGCCGAAGGTGCTAAGCCCTATGGCAGGTAAGATGCCATTTCCGATCTTCGATTTATAATGTGGTGTATGTTTCAAGTATTTCTTGTTCAAGCAATGTCCATTCCAATATTTTTTGCTTCATTCATAGAAATGCCTCATCATCATCTCCAATAAATGCCTTATCATTAACATAGGAGGCTAAGATGGTTCAGGATTAATCTAACAAGTTCACCATATGAAACCAGGTTATCAGGTTGGATATCAGAGTTTCCAAGTGATCAAAGTGAAACAAAATCTCAGGAAGACTGTAATAGTATGGATTCATGCTACTGTTATCCAGCATGGATTTCCAAGGAGAATGATTTATGGGGATGTTCAGTCACTGTTAAAATGTGAACATGAAGAGGCTTTAAGAATGTGAAACAGAAACATTTTGCATCCCATTAATGCATAAATTCAAAGATCTTTTCCATTTTCTGCTCTGATAAAAGTAATTTTCAGTTGAGGAATGATAAAAACATGCAAAAAGATAGGAATTCATAACTGAATATGATTACAGTCACGCCTGCTTGAGTTCCTGACTGATCTTCTTCCTTGAATATTTTATTTTCGAAAGAAGAAGATTCCTTGTAATGTAAAAAATGGTCTTAGTTCATCAATCTACATGCAGTTGTCAAGTAAATGAAAATGCAATATGCTGCTACTTTCTCTGTTTCTTGGCCATCAGATAACAATACATGCATTTTACAGCTTTGTTTCTGCCTAACATGTCCTGTTATTTTTATGACCTAGGACAACTGACATGACTACATGCTAATGAAATTGGATAATTAGCCATTGATTAGAATATATAAAGGGATTATAGCTAATTTAGACCATTCTTAAGTATAGTATTACCATATTCTGTGTTATATATTGTATAAAATGGTGATATAAAATACAATGCGAATATATTAATTATTAATATTTTTTTCTATACAAATATACAAATTACTAAAATCTAACTACATGAACTGAAGACCTTGATTAGTAGACTTCACATTCTTTCAAGGGGAAATTTGGGTCTACATCCTTAATTCTTTTCCCTCTGAAAAAATCTAGGACCTTGAATTTGGTATAATGGAACTGCATCATCTGTTTTCTTTCTATCCAAACACTAATGATTTTCAGATTTTTATTAGCCTGAAGATTAGACTTGGTCATTGGAATTGGATAGAAAGATAAAAACTACAGGAGAGACTGAACCACTGAGTGGCAAATGAGTGGCCTACAACAAGATACCAATCTTCTAGCCATAAATATAAAAGACACTAGTTCCTAATTTGGTAACCTTGAGGTAGAAGAAGATCGTTATATATTATTATATTGTTTTTGTTTTTTTATTAAAAAACAGAAAGATTATAACCTTACTCTTTAAACAAAGAGATTATGCGTTAATTATAGAGTCAAATACTTAATGCTTATCATTTGTATGCTTGTTATTATTATTATTATATTTGTATGTGAACTTCCTAAAAGATATTTAATAACTTGTATATTTGTTTTTCTATTTTTTCAATAAAATAGGTTAAAATTTAGAGAATTGAAAAAAAAAAAGAAGAATTTATAGGTATTCAGGATTCAATCTCATCCTTGAAGAATTTATATTTTTAAGTTTCATGTATTATCATATTAAAATATTAAATATGAATCAATTGAGTTAAATTTAAATTTTTATAATTTTTTTATTCATGTCTTTCAAAGTTTCAACTTTATAAGTAATAATGTGCATTTTATTGAAAAAACAGTCCAAGACTTCAACATTTAAAGACAAACTAAGTCAAATGTGTTGTCAGATTCAAATCTCTAAAATATGAATATAATGAATCAGCTAAAATTAATTACTTCTGTTCTTTGGTCATACCTACCTTAGGTAGCCACCCCAAATATTGTTCTTTTCTTTCCTCTTATATCATCTAACAATGCAAATTGTTGAATAAAAATGGAATACTATCTTGAAACCTTTAAAAGCGAATATATATATATTTTTTCCCCTCTTCTATTTTTTATGTTATACAAAATAAATAATGATTAAAATTTAAATTTTATCTCAATAAGAAAATGTATGCGTATTTAAAATTTAAATTTTAATGTTCGTAATTTATTTATGATAAATTACGATTTTATTTGTAAAAGAAAATTAATAATAACTAAGACATATATTGCATAAATTGTTGTATAGACACATTGGCCATAGCTATCAATCAAATGGCCAATGCTATGAATTATTATCTCCACTTAATGGAAAATTATGAAGAGATTAAAAAGTAGTGTAAATTCAAAATCGAACTACCCATTGTTTAAAAAATTTGTCAGTCCATGTGGTCGGTAAGAGTGAGATCCATTTTTTTGACAGCTGTTTATTCGTTTTATGTGCTTAAACAACAATGTGAACTTTGCTTCCAGTTCTTGTCTTTGTCTTCACCAAGGGCAACAGGGCACGAACCTGTCTTAGTTTCTTAACTATTTCTGTCACATTTGTTTATATTAGGTTACTTACCATCATATCCAAGAAATTTGTAGGAAAATTCAATTTTTCGTCTTTTTCTATGAAAACCTTTCTCTCGTTCCTATAATTATATATATATATATATATATATATATATATGTGCTATCTTCCCTGTATATCATATCATATCATACCATATTTCATAGTTTCTTGCCATTACTTCTTTTGAATCTCTTTTGTTTGGCCTCAAAAGAACATGAAGCATCAAAGCAAACCCAGTTTTGTTTCAGTTTTTCTGATCTTTGCAGTTGTGTTTCTATCCTACTCAGCTTCAGTTTCAGCTCAAGAAGTTGGTAATATTAGAAACAGAAAACCAGACCGATCGTTTATATATATTGTAGATTGATAAAGAATGTGACATGTGAAATTTATATGATGCAGAGGATGAAAGGGAGTTTGATTACTTAGAGAGCAGTGGGAAAGGGCCAAAGCAATGGGGAGATCTGAAGAAAGAATGGGCTGCTTGCAAAAATGGAAGTCTGCAATCCCCAATAGATATGTCAAGTCGGAGAGTGAAGGTGATCCGGAAGTCTGGAGAGCTAAAGAAGAGATACAAGCCCTGTCATGCAATTGCCAAGAACAGAGGCCATGATATCTCGGTAAGAAATTCTTAGACAACATATATTCAAAGAATGGTAGCCTAAACTCGGATCTTAGTTCAATTAGTTGATGCAATCACTCGACCACTTTCTCCATCCCAGGTTGCGGCCTCTTTTATTAAAAAAAAATGGCAGGCCCTGGAAACTTATTAGTTGTTTCCGTGACTTCTAGAAGCAAACAGGCCATCTTGGATGATATATGAATTAAATCAGGAAATCAACTCTGAAATTATTGTGTTTTCTCTGAATATGCAGCTTGAATGGCTGAATTGTGATGCTGGTTCAATCAAGATCAATGGTACCGAATTCTTCCTCCAACAAGCTCACTGGCACTCACCATCTGAGCATACCATCAATGGCAGAAGGTCCCTACTCTATTGAAAATCATTTCTTTTATTCAAACACTAAAAAGTACATAAGCTGGAATAAAAGGTTTTAATTTCTTTTTTTGATCTTTTACAATAATCAGGTATGCCCTGGAGCTACATATGGTACACCAGAGCAAAGACGACAAAATGAAGAACAACCTAGCTGTTATTGGACTACTCTACAAATTTGGTGCGCCTGATGCTTTCCTCCCCCAGGTAAAGATTACTTTCCAAAATGATTAGAGTATCAGAGTATTGCCTCCAAATTCCAATCATATTGTTCCACCAGAAACTTTGTGACATATTATTATTTGCTTATAAACTTCAGTTGATAAGCAACATTACATCGATGGCTGATAATGAGAAAGAAAAGGAAATGGGGGTGATAGATCCAAGCCTGATCAAGATGGGTGGCAAGAAGTATTACAGATACATGGGCTCATTGACAGTCCCTCCATGCACTGAAGGTGTCATTTGGACACTGAACAAGAAGGTAAAATCCAATCATCCCCAACAATTTTTTCTTTTTAATTTCTTCTCTAGAAATGGGATCCTGAAGCTTATTTAAACTACATATATCCAGATAAGAACTGTTTCAAGAGGCCAAGTCCAGGCACTCCGAAAAGCTGTCCATGATGTAAGTAGATACCTGTTAATTTGCTAGTTTATCATCAATTTAGCTAAACCATGAACATTCTTGAAATGAGCAATCCCAAACAAATCTAACCTTTGGTGATCAAATGATTTTTCAGTATGCAAAATCAAATGCAAGACCTGTGCAACCACTCAATCACCGACAGATAGAGCTTTATGGCCCGAAAACAAGGGACGTACCTAACTGATAAAATCTACAGCTTGTGTTGAGGAGGCAGATTTTTTTACCTTGACCCTAATCTTTCCACAACTTTTTCCCTTCCCTGAAATGGTTGATATATAAAACGATGATTTCTTATTGTATTTATGCACCATTATGAGGTTACAAATCGTCTGTTGTTACTAGTTTACCATCTTATTTTGATAAATTTGAGGCATCGCAGTTGAAGCAACCTGAAAATTTTTTTCAAGAACATGTTGGTAAGAAACTAAATCAAAACAATTATATTAACATCAAATTTGCTTTTAAGAACAATTTGGCCATGGACTAAATGAGAAAAATTACATGCACATCATTGCTAAATACAAAAATAAGTTGATCTGTTCTACATATATAATATCAAATATGATTTTGAGCAAACAGGACATGAATACCTGCAATTACATTATTAACACCAAACCCAGCTGCCCAAGAATGACATTCGAAATGAATAAGGAAATGCTTTTGCGAACATAATCGGCATAACCAAGAAGTTGCACTTGTGTTCTCAGGACTTGCTGGAAATGCCGCTTCATCTTTTTTACACATTCCAAATGTATAGTGTGGCAATATATATATATATATATATATATAAAGTCTAACTTCCATAAATCAGTCATTGAGTCGGCCAGGTGAAATACAGTTACGGGTAACCCTCAAACAGAGCTGTCTTCTTCCTCTATCTTTCGGTGCAACATAGATACACTTTTTTGGCCATTATTCAGTACATATTTAAGTCTTTAAAATTTTGGGAATAAGTTGTATAAGCTGTCTTATCCTTCATTGAGAGTATTACAACAACATTTTGTGATATAAAAGACATTTGTTTGGAACAGCCGCACCATATCCGTAGGCCCCAGAATCCATTTTCACAATCTTTTCAAGGACAGTGACCCTTCAATTTGTGGTCACTTTGTAAGCCACGTCCTAAAATCCCATTATTTGGTTGCAGTCATAAAGGGATCGAAGGGGTATCCCACCCTTTAAAGGTCCCAAACTTTTCCATTTACCCTTCGGCTCTTCCAAAATTTGCAATACAAAGGCTGAAGGGCTAAGGAGTTTCAACTTAATTTTACCTGCTAAAACACACGTAAAGTCTTGGTACCGAAATCAGCAGCACATGCATGATCAGATGCTTTGTTAAATTTATTCAAGATTAGTAATAGAACATGAATTGTCTCAAGTACGTGACAAAGTGACGAATTCCTTTGCTTGAATTGGGCAAGGCAGTACCCAACTGCAACCTTGATCTCCAGCTAAGCACATGACAAGGCAAAAAGTAAATACCCATGTCAAAGCCGAAGAGACTGTTAGGATGGATGTATGAGAAAAAGATGGAATCACCCTCTCCTACTTATCCCGTTTGAAAACAAATAGACCTAAAAAGTGGCATAAAAATGGCCAGGGCAGGACGAGAAAACTGGGTCCTATCATCGAAGCAATAGGCCAATGGCCACGGTCTAAGCATGCAAGTTGTCATGATAGGCCAAGTTTGCCTCGATCCTGCCATAATTGACCCTGAATAGAGCAGTGGTCAAGACCTTATTGTCGGGACAGTAGACCTAGAGCTATGTGCGGGTAGTATAAGCCCAAGAACATGTTGCTGATAGTGCGTAGAAGATGTGAGCCCAAAGTTCTAAGATACGCGGGCAAGTATCAAATAGCATATGAGTACCCTAGAGCAGGGTAGCCGGTTAATGTTGTTGGTTGAAGTCATGTACGGTCACCTTTAAATGGGTTGATGGAGTAATAAGTGAAATATCGAAATTGTGGTGGCCAAGAGATAGGTCACTGTACCCTAAATTGGTTGAAGAAAGGTTTTGAGGTGATTAGAAAAAAAATATTCTCATTTCGGATAGTCTTATGATTCTTGATAGGATGGCTGAGAAATCTTTTATGCTCATTATAGGGGGATGATTGGTATCGACTTTCCATCACTCGTTGGCTAGTAGGTAAGCGAGGGCTTGGCTAATTTGAAGTGAGCTACTCTTAGGCACATATAGTATCTAGGTGGGAAAGCATCATTGGGTCATAAGGGAACGGTGTTTTCTTGGGTCATGGTAAACTTGGTGACAATCGAGGCCAATAAGCCTCGTATCATACTATTGTGTTGAACCATAGGGTTTGGTGGTAGCATTCGTTATGCCCCTAAATTATTTTGATTGAACTAAAAGGATCACAAGATAGTATTTGCGTATGAAGGGCACCATCAAGCTTGAGGGATGAGCGGGTTAGCAAGTAGACATGCTATTAGATCTTTATAGCCAATCAATAGAGGTGTGTTACGGGCGGGTAGCACACTCGAGTTCCCTGAGACAGGATAGGCATGATGTCGAGTGTCTATCATCCATATGGGTAGCCTAGAATAAGGCTAAGGGCTGAGGCCCTAAGATATAAGTTTTATGAGATGAGATGAGCCTAGTGTGGCTTTGAGCCACCCGTTGACTAGCATTAGTGTTGTGCTTGTGGTTTTTAGGCATAAGAGCTTGCGTATGATGAGGGCAGGCATAATGTTAGGTTCTCACTATGCTAGAATGAGATAATATCATAAGAACTAGGGCTGTGAGCCTTATATGTGAGGTGGATTGGTACTCAAGACCTAATACCTGTGGGCAGAGATGAAGGCTCGGAGCCATCTTGAGAATCATGAGTTAATGAGATAAGGGAAGTTAGGTTTCTATATATTGAGTTTGAGAATGATGTGGGTGACCTTAGGGGTCTGAGCTAGGAAGAGCTCACAAGTATATGGCTTGAAGGATCGAAAATGATTTGTCCATGGAGAAGTGGACTCGAAAAAAGTTTACCTTAACTAAGAGTAGTCATGGTGCCATATGGACATGTGATTTTGATTTAAAGAATGTATGGCTTGTAACATGTGGTATCAAAGCCATATTTGACTCAACGGTGGGACTAAAACGACTTAGGTATGGGTATGAAATTGATAAATTGAGGCGGTGTTAAGCTTAAAAAGTGCTATTAAGGCACGATTGTGATAATATGGCTATGTGGGCTCGAAAATAAGCCATCAATGTGTGCTATGGGAAAAATTAAGTGGAAAGCCTTCGAGTTGATCTTTAGATGCCAAGTGAAAAGGCACGAGAGTCTAGCCTCACCTAGCAAAAAGTGTTAGCACGGGCGAGCTTGTGATACTTTTATGGTGGAAAAAACCATGTGGAGATTGAAATGCGAAAAATGGGCTACACCTTGAAATAATGTTTGAGTAAAGCCATGTGGGCAAAATGAGTTTTGTCCTGAAGGACATGAGTCATGTGTATTGAGATCAATTACTAATATGCGCACTTATTGTATGGTGCAAGTTCTCTAACAAGGGTACATACTGAGTATTTGGGTCTAAGTGTAGAGCTGTTTTGTAGAGGAAAATGAGTTTGAGTTGATTGATGATTGAAGCTTTAAGTTTGTATGGTTAATGGACCATGAGTTCTCGTAGTCAGAGGATCACAAGAATGTATTGATCAGTGGATCATGTTTTATCTTGGCCAAAAGAGAATGCCTTGTGAGATGTGAAAGTCAGCGGACCATGATAATGCGTAATTTAATGGAACGAGGCCTTGAGTTGTGGGGGTCAGAGGACCCATTGAGTTGAGCAAAATCAAGGGTATTAGCATTCGAGTTTGCATTCGATCAACGAACTGAATGAGTTTGAGCAAGGTAGAGAAAAACCAATTGAGTTGAACCAAATACAGAGACTTTACGTGGATGGGACCAATGAGATGGCCATGAGTTTGAATAGGTCAATGAACTTTGAGTATCGAGTGGGTTGGTGAACCCTCAGATTGAGTCGATCAGGAGACATTCTGTTTAAAGTTGGATTAGTGGATCTTCGAGCATTTAGTGGGCTTTGAGATACTTTATGAGATAAGCTAGAGTCAAGGTACACGAGTTGTGGAACCATCATAGAGATATAGTTACGTGCAAAATCGAGTTGAGTTCGAGTAAATATGGGAGAGACTTGTGATTTTTGATGGTACTAAGCCAAGACAGTGAAACCTATGAAATATCTGAGCATTTAGTTTGAGTTTAAGATAGCGAGCGTTAAGGTGCCACTACAAGAGTAGTTGGCCAGAAGGCCATACCTAGAGAGGTGACCTTGGAGGGGTCAAAAAAACCTAAGTTATAAGGTGGTCGAAATGTTAGAATACCACCATGATAAAGTCTATTGTAAAAGGTGCTATATAAGTGTGGTTGACCTAAACATCATTTTCAAAGGGGCGTATCAAAGAGTCGATGCCGAAAGCGTGCGGTTGGTGTGATGGGTCACACCCAGCGAGGCGTACCAATATGTGGCAAAGCAAGTGGTCATTCATTCTACTAAGGGTTATAATCGACAAGTGTGCCTCGAAGTCGCAACATTATGTGATCATGAGTGAAGTGGTGCAGTGGCAATTATTGAGCAACAGTTTGAGTTTGGTAGTCATATAAGGAGATAACACAGAGGTGTATTAGAGCTAGAATAAGACCCACTGACATCGATAATGAACGAGTACTATGGGTAATGCCTCATGTGACAAGATTTAGACCTAATCCTTAAGGGCACAAGTTAGAGATATATGAAAAAATGTCAATTGTATGCAACAAAAAAGTTAAGTGTGGTCTTGGCGTTGATGAAGGCATCGACATAGTAAGTGGAAGAAAGTGTCATGGTTAGGCCCTAGTGTGCCTTGATCCTGTCATGACTAATCCTACATCGAGCAGCAGTCAAGACCTTGTTATCAAGAGGTGGACTTGGAGCTGTGCGCTAGTAGTGTAAACCTAGGAACATATTGTTGATAGTGTGTGTAGGCGGTGTGAGCCTTAGGCCTCAAGATGCATGGGTCAGTATGAACCAGTATGTGGGTGCCCTTGAGTCAGGTAACCAATCGGGTGTTGTCATTCGAAGCTTTGCGTGGTCACCCTTGAATGAGTTGATAGAGCAACGAGTGGAATGTCAAAATTATGGTGGCTAAGAGATAGGTCACTAAGCCCTAAATTGGTTGAAAAAAGGCTCTAAGGTGGTTGGGGAGAAAAGTGTCTCCATCCCAAATAGTTTTATGATTCTTGGTAAGATGGCTGAAAAATCTCTTCGTTTTTTTATAGAGGATGATTGGTGTCGACCTCCACCACCTCTTTGGTTAATAGGTAGGTGGAGTTTAACTAGTCTGAAGTGAGTTACTCCTAAATACATGTGGTGTCTAGATGAGCGGACATCATCAGGTTATGAGTGTGGAACGATCTCATTGGGTCATGGTAAACCCAGGGATAGTAAGGGTCGAAGGACTCCGTATCGTGCTATTACATTAAATCATGGGTTAGATGGTAGTGTTTGCTAGTCTCTTTGATTTTCTCTCATTGAGCTAGAAAGACCATGAGATGATGTTTGAGTAAGATAGGCACCATTAAACCTGAAAGATGAACGGGCTAGTAAGTAGGCATACTACTAAACCTTTGTAGCTAATCGATAAAGGTGTATTGCGAGTGGGTAATACACTTGAGTTTTTTGAAGTAAAACAAGTACGATATCAAATGTTCATCATACATGCAAGCGACCTAAAATGAAATTAAGAATTGAGACTCTGAGATATAAATTTTATGAAATGAGATAGTTTAATGTGACTTTGAACTACTCGTTGACTAATATTGGTGTTGTGCCTATGGGTTCTAGGTAAAAAAGATTACATGTGATGTGGATAAATATGATGTTAAATTTTTATTATGTCAAAATAAAATAATATAACGAGAATCAAAGCTGTGAGCCCTTATATGCAAAGTGAGATTAGTGTTTGTTACTATAATGCCTATGAATAGAGATGAAAGCTCAAAGCTACTTTGAGAATCGTTAGCTAATGAAGCCAGAAAAGTAAATTCTTCTCTATTGAGTTTGGAAATGATGCAAACAACTTTACGAGATATGAGCTAAGAAAAACTCACGAATTTACGACTTAAAAGATCGAAAATGATCTATCCCTAAAAAAATTAACTTCGACTAAAAATAATTTTAATATCGCACGATCGCATAATTTTGATCTAAAAAACAAGCGACCCGTGACACTGATCCTGAAGCTTCACGTGCTTTAAAAATAATCTACGAGTCCACTAAAAATTCATCCTCATCCCTTGATTTAAGATGCCTAATTTAAGAACTAGTATAGGTAGCACCTAGACAAAGCGAAAAACTGCTGTAAAATTTTGTAGTTAGTTGAAATCTTTACTTGGTCAAATGATTATCTGCCAAGAAACCAATTGACTCAAGAAAATTGAACGTAACACGACAGGGCCATGCTAGTATTCATGATGTTGCTACTGTAATTTTACCCATAAGAAACAAAAATCATGCAAAAATCACGAAAATACTAGAGAAAGAAAACATTGTTTCGATCTGATCAAAGTTCACGAATGAACCTTGTTGGGTTGTACACCTGTTGCAAGATTTTTATTGATGTGCATGGGGACAAAGCTCAAAAATCAAGAAAAGCTAACATTGGTCTTTGTCACGTTGTTTTCTTTTATTTAAGGTATGGGAAAGATCGGGGTCCTGACAAATAATTAAAGTTGAGCAGAAAAAATAAATGGCAAATAAAAAGGAAACAGGAAATGCAATCATGTTATTTTCCAGTGCATGCAAATTGCAAACATCTGCCACTTGATGATCATGATAGAGGATAGAAATCAAAAGTCAACATGATCAACGGGCACAGATTAATACAAATACAAGGAAAAAAAGAAAAGAAAGATGAAACTCTACAAATTAAATACACCGGAGAAAATCCGCTTTCATACGACAATTAATTAAATAAAATCCAGTTAATAATCGGTGGAGGGGAGTTGCTCGTGGGTGTGGCTGATGAAGACGAACTCATAGATGAGGCCGGCGAGTCCACCACCGATAAGGGGTCCCGCCCAGTAGACCCAGTGGTTTTCCCAGGACCAGCTAACCAAGGCAGGTCCAAATGAAACAGCCGGGTTCATGGAGGCTCCGTCGAAGGCACCACCCGCCAAAATATTGGCCCCTACAATTAAACCAATTGCCAATGGTGCGATCACTCCCAAACTTCCTCTTTTAGGATCAACGGCTGTGGCGTAGACTGTGTACACCAATCCGAAAGTCATAACGATCTCGAAAACGAACGCGTTCCACACCCCCACTCCTGATGACAATCCAAAAGTTGGTACAGCCTGCGAACCACCATAACAAATTCCCAGTTAATAAACTAAATAATGGAAATAACTCATTTCCTGACGGGGATTGGGGGGATACCAGGCCGCTGGTAGCGAACTTAAGTAACAGGCAAGCGACCGTTGAGCCAAGGAGTTGGGCGATCCAGTAAACGATGCCACGTAAGAGAGTGATGTTCCCGCCAACGAAAGCACCAAAGGTGACGGCAGGGTTGACGTGGCCACCGGAGATGTTAGCGCCAACAGAGACAGCGACGAAAAGTGCGAAGCCATGAGCCAGAGAGGCGGCAACGAGACCGGCCGGGGTGGTTGATCCGTTGTCGGTCAGCTTGTTAAAGGCCATGCCTGAGCCTGACCCAGCGAAAACGAAGATTAAGGTTGAGATGAACTCAGCCAAAGCTGCTTTAAGAGTATCTGGGTGAGTAGCCTCTTCGGGCCGGCCAACGGCTATGTTTCTGATCGGCATGATTACCGTCTGATCAAAATTCAGCAGTCTGGTGTGTAGAGTGAATATTGATATGGTCTGGTCTGGTCTGGTCTCTATTTCTCAGCGTTAGGTCTTACATATATTTGACAGGGTTATGCCATGGTGACCGGCATTAATCCGTTGCCGGTTGAAAAATGTGGGGACAGGGAGTATTATTTTGGAAGGTGATTGGCGGACAGGCTGTAAAATGATTATTTGTAGAGTTTTTTGGAAATAGGTTTAGCCGAACTACCGGTCATTCCCGTTAAGACAGCGAAGTGGGAAGTGTCAGTTGAATGAATTAATTGCCACGTGTTTAAGTGGATAAGAGCCACGTAATGTACGACGTCAGCTGATTTTTTTTTTCCTCTTTTCCGCTCCCACTCGATTTGGAAAGATCGAATTATCTTTAAATATTTTTTTTAATGAAAATAGAAAGGATAAGTTTTCTGACGGGGAGACTTGTCAGAGGCAATAATTAACGCAATATGATTTTGACACGTGGAATTAGTTGCCAGTAGTTGTCTGATCCACAAAGCATTGTTGCTGACAATCTTATACTATGCTAATTGGGAAGTCATGGTTGGTAAAGCCTTGGCTTTGACAGCTTAATGGCAATTTTTTGTTAAATTAATTTACCTTTTTAGCCTTGTTATGCCTATTCATTTAGTCAATAAGATTAATTTTCACGATTGTTAAGTTAGCGTATATTCGATTATCACGTGTGAGTTGATATTTAGATTATTTGTTATAGAATAAATTTATCCTCATTAAAAAGAGATTTATCTAATTATTTCTCCTAACATTTCAGGTATTTTTTAAAAACAATATAACTGATTTTTTATTTATTTAAAATTATTAAAAATAATTTACGTTTGTTTAAAATTATTAAATACAACACACAATCACTTACTAATTTTATTTTAAATTTTATGTAAATTTATTATTAATTACCAATTATTTTGATCATATCATCATCTTTTTTTTTCATATATAAAATAAAAAAGAGATTTAAATACAATATAAATTAAATATCATTTCTCTTAAAACTTTTTTAATACTTACATAATGCATTCTTTCTCATTAATCCCTCAAACACTTTTACTTGTTAGAGTATATTTCGAGAACTAATTCTGATACCTTTTGATCATTTTTTTTTTACTACAAGTTTAAATTTCCATTCACACAATTTTCTGATCTCTTCCATCTAATTAATATGCAAAAACATTGCCAACAATAATAAAGGAATGCACGTGAATTAATCAACACCATATAGCTTACCATATGGGTTGCTAGACGTACGGTAATAATAATGATTAAATAATTCCTTTTTTTTGTGGTAATTATGATTAATTATAGACAATGAGGGAAGTAAGAAGTTTGGCAACTCAATCTATTGATGATTTTGATTTGCTAATATCCCATTTAATTTCCAAGTAGTAAATTATTTACCAAGATTTTACAGCTTTTTGGTGGTAGACATTTGAATTTTATTACTCTCTTTTGGAGTGAGAATGGTTGATACTTGTTTTTTCATGGTTCAATTTGTCCTTTGAAGTCACGGCTTGTCATGACTCATGAAAATCTTAGCAATTGGTTTTCATATGCCGTAGATTAAAATTTTAATATTTAATTTGGTTCAGATTATTTTTTAATTTAATTTAAATTAAATTAAATATTAAATATATATTAATTTAGAATTGAAATATAAAAAATTAAAAAAATTTTATCAAATCAAGTTATAATTTTTATTTATTTATATAATTTTTAATTTTTTTATAAAATAAAATAATTGTTTTATATATAAACTTATTTAAATATATTAAAATTTTTATTAAAATAATATATATAATAAAAAATTAAAATTAATAAATTAATAAATCAAATTAAATCAAATTAATAAAATTCAATTCAAATCAAATTAATTTTAAAAAAATTAATTTAAATTTACATAAAATTTTAAAAATTTACAAATATTATATATTATTAAAAAATTAAATTCAATTAAATTCAATTTAAACTATTATCATCCCTATAATAGCTCAAATACAAAATCTTTCGTTATTACATCAAACAAATATGTACCATAATCAAGCACGATCAGCTAGGTTTTTATTTTCAGACAACAGGGCAAGCCACTAAAATTTTTTAATTAGTGTTAATTACATTTTTTTGGTACTTAATTTTTTTAAAAATATATAAATTAATATAAAAAAAATAAATATACAATTAAATTTAAATTTATTATTTTAATTATACTTCGCTATTGATTTAAGTGATAATCTTCAAATTTGCTTAGCTCAGTTGTCAATTATTCTTCTAAAGAAAGTCCAATCTTCCTTAATGAACAACAATCCAAGAAATGTCTATTTACGTCAGAATTTTAATCATTCTTCACAAGTCAATTATTAATATGAAAAAATCACTTGCCGTCACGCTAGCAAACAAAAGGATAATGGAGCCACTAAAATTAACTGTTGACAAGAAAAATTTAGGGCTGAAATTGAAAAACGTGATTGAAAAGAGATAAGTGTTACAAAAGACATTTCGGGGCAAAGGGAGAGTACGATCAAGTGATTTTTGGTCATAGAATTCGGCTTGTAATTGATGTCAGCCAATCCCAGCATCCGTGAAAAATGCCTGTCCTGAAACTTGACAGAGTCATCAGATTTGCAATGTTTCCCGGAATCCACCGTCCAAGATTCTGTATGTCATGCCTGAAAGATAAAGATCAGTTACTTATCTTCAAGTTGTCAAAGAGCTGTATGCTTGAAGCTCTTTGTTTGGGAACTCCAGCAACTTGTTCTACTTCGGTTCTCCAGGGGATATGATGCTGGAAATTATAGGCCAACTTCAAATTTGATGTAAGTTTATGAAGGCTTGAAGGTCCACTGGAATTAATGGAGAGAAGTGCTCTAGCCTCCAGGGTCTAATAAGGGGAATTTATTGGGTTTAAATGAAAAAAAATGTTTTTCTTGGTTTTTCTTTCATTTCTTTTATAAAATTTTGGTGTTGGTCGGTTCATGCTGGCAGGTTGCTTGCTTCACTCCGACATGCAAATTGCCTTGTTCATAAAAAAACAACAATGTTCTATATATGCAAAACCCTAATGATTGGTTACAAAGGGATTTTGGGAGTTATTGTCCATCCAAGAAGCAAACATCAATGTATAATTCACAACTGGGTGGGTCAACTGCACATGAAACTGCTTGATTAAGTGGCTTAACACAATACCATTAGTGCAAACTGCAAACCCTATGTAATTAATAATTATCTTTTCATTTCACTCCTTTTGTACTATTACAAATTTTTTTCTTTTAAAATTGAATAATCATCTTTTGTCTAGTAAATTTCATCTTTCATTTCTAAAAATTCAAAATTTGATCATTGGCATTTTACAAATAAAAAGATAATTAACTGAAACAATTGTTTTCAAGTCTGGTAGTGAAAATTTATGCTGTGATTCGAAAAAAAAAATTTATATATTAAAATTTTAATCTTAAATTTATTAAATGTTATTTTTTTAAAATAACAATATTAATTAATTAAATTAAATTTTAAATTGTACCAAAAAACCTCGGCTTGGTAAACAATGACTAATTTTAAGAAAATTTTAATCTTAAATTTATTAAATGTTATTTTTTTAAAATAAAAATATTAATTAATTAAATTAAATTTTGAATTGTACCAAAAAACCTCGGCTTGGTAAACAATGACTAATTTTAAGAAGGGTCTAAATGGCAGTTAATTGGATGGTAGTTACTGTTAGTTAAAATTTAGTTAAAGGAAGCTTTATTATTCCTACCAAAACAACCATTGAAAAATGCCAACTTGGGGCGCAGTTTAGTACTAATTAAAGTTTGTATACAGTTAAAAGGAGCCGTCGAAGACCAGATAGTTACTAAAAGTACTAAGAAAGACTAACAGAAAAACCCCAAGCAGGAAAAGCAAATGACAAAGCAGAAAAATTAAAGAAAGGGAGGGGGTGGAGAGGCGCAAATTCTGTGGTTCCAGGCTTGCAAACCAATCCTCCCAGCCCCAGAAGGAATCGTTGGGAAAAAAGTAATGGGTTTGCTTGCTTCTAAGCCAACCGAATCTCACTCGTTTCCTCGCCTTCTCGTACTGAGATTGCATCTTCTCTTTCCTATGTTTGCGTTGTGTCTACATCTACTAAATAACTTCCAAGGCTGGAAACACAATATATACTGGCAAAACACGGGTTCTAATCTTTGAACCTTTCGCTGAATTAACATTTATCTGTTGCTTTCATCACATATATCCAATTATCTATTTCTTTTTCTCGTTCAAGATAGAATTAGAGATGATGCTGGAGGGTCAGGAGGAACTTCTTGTTTGTAGAGATCAGCTGCAAATCATCAAAGGCAAGCGTACCAAGCGTCCAAGGCCGCTGTCTCCTCTGACTTTGGCGATGGCTTCAAGCACGACTTCTAGTGGAGGAGAAAGTGGAGGTGAAGTTGGAAGAAATAGTGATGATTCGAGGGGGTTTGATCGATCTGTTGCTTCTCCAACAACATCTGTTGAGTTAGCAGAAAGCACTGAAGAAGAAGAAGTCATGGCTAATTGTTTGATACTTTTGGCTCAAGGTCAAACAAGAAAATTTCCATTCAAACCAGCTTCTTTGGCAACAACAAGCAAGACTGGGATATATGTTTACCAGTGCAAGACGTGTGACCGGTGCTTCCCTTCCTTCATTCCAGGCGCTTGGTGGACACACAGCAAGCCACAAGAAACCCAAGGTTAATAACGAAGAGAATAATAAAGGATTGATGCTTGTGAAAGAGGGTGATGATCAATCCAATAAAATGAACACAATCCTTTCATTTCAAATAACGAATAAGGCTGTTTCATGCAATAGCAGCAAATCAAAAGTTCATGAGTGTTCGATATGTGGCGCTGAGTTCTCGTCTGGACAAGCTCTTGGGGGTCATATGAGAAGGCACAGGACAATTACTGACGCTGCAACAATAGCTACAACAACTTTGAGTGTTGGAACAAGCAGCAGTCCTGAATCAGAAGATCAGCCCAAGAAACCAAGAACTGTTCTGCAATTGGATCTTAATCTTCCAGCCCCGGAAGATGATCATCACAGGGAACCCAAATTTTCATTTGCTTCCGAGGAAAAACTACTGGTCTTTTCAGCGTCTTCTTTGGTCGATTGCCATTACTAGAAATACAAGTCCATCTTAATTTTTTTGGGGGGAGTTTCTATCACCCAAAAATCAATGTGTATCATTAACATTAATTATTTTCTCACTAATATCATTCATAATTGTTCATTCTTCGAATTCTTTTAAATTTAACATTGTTCCATGTTAGTGAAGTGGAAAATTTCTTTGGTAAAGTGTGTTAGCTTTCGTTTTTTCATGGTAGCCATTTGATCTATAAACAGATAATTTTCACTTTCTTTCCTTTCTTTGTTTGGCTCGTTTGGCATAAGTTTGCCACCACCAATTCCACAACCGAAAGTGGTGGATTAGGTTCTCTTGTTTGGTTTGCAAGAAAGCTAAAACTCCATCCCTGTCTATCTGTTTCATTAATATATATGACGAAAAATTAAACGGATGGCAACCAAGCCAGATTGCTAACTGCCCTCCTTTTATGGATCCACCTATGCATTTAGGCAAAGCACACTACACACTCTCACATTCAACTTCAAAATCATAGCTATTCTAGTCCCCCATGTGAATGAAACAAATTGGCCACTTAATTTACCTAATTTACTAAACAACAGCCTGATTTAGTAGCTAAACTTGTAGACCTGATCCTCAACTTATCTGTAACAGCCATACGCCTAAAGTGATTAGTTACCATGTTGTCAGCAATGTTGAGTTAAGCTTACTCTTGGCAAGAATATGTTGTCAAATTAGATGGTTGAGACCCAACCACGATTGAATCAAATAGTTTGAAACTGTATGACAGGTTTTCACTGCAAAAAGTGCCTTTATCTCTCGAACCCAAATTTATACTTGTCTTCAAGTGAAGATACGAACGTGTGTGTTGTCAGAAATAAGGATACAAGGATTCCATTTCATGGAAAGATCAAAGGAGGACAAGAAACTCTTAATTACATGTATACCTCATTTTGTCTTGTTCCACTTTCCATGCAAATAGCAGTCCTCCTGAGAAAGAGGGAGAGAAGTAACAATGAATTAAAGAAGGTCATCTAAATTTTTGTAGAGATTTGTTAAATGGGGCTAATGGACACGGCTTCAAGCAAGAGGGTCACGATGCCTTCAAGCAAAGAGGGTCTCAAACCATCGGTTTTTCTCGTATCTTAAACTTTTAGCTTTTCTCATGTCTTGAACCTTTGATTCTTTTCACGTTTTGAATTTTTAGCTCTGATACCACTTGTTAGAGAACACCACAGCTCTGATACTATTTGTTTGGCTAAAAGTCTCCAATCCAATCACACCAATGAAAGTAAAATTAAATAATAAATCAAACATACAAGAAACAATAATTTAACGTGATTCGATCCAATTAACCTACGTCCACGGATGAAAAACAAGATCCACTAGTTGTAGAGAATTACAAACATACATCAAATCATCAACCTCACTTAACAATCAATACTCATAAGACACTCTCAATCTACTCTAGTCCTATTGAGTATTTTCAACACAAACAAATACAAACCCAAATCTTTGTGCACCCTTTTAACATAAGCACTCAACCCAAACAAACACAAACTTAAACTCTTGTGCACCCTTTTAACATAACCAAACATATACTCATATGCTCCCATACATCATATCTATGTGACCCTTCAGTCTCTTCTAGTTCACTTACAAATAAACATATACACCCATAAGACATAGAGCCCAATACTCCTATGAGGTGTCTATCCCATCAAATCTTATAACTCTCTTACATCATTTCCTCATACTTAACCCTGTAGAGACTTCACATATTTATAACCATACAAATTTGCTCATTAAGAATTATTCTTCTCTTAGAATTCTTTTCCTATAAGTTAAACTTGTCTACTAAAAATTTTTTCCTTTTAGAATTTTTCTCTTGTAAGTCAAACTTACCTATTAAGAATCTCCTTTCTTTTAGAATTTTTCTTTTACAAGTCTTCTTGTCCATCAAATAATATCTGATAAATCTCAAACAAATCTCTTATAAGATTTGAGTCATTATTTTCAACAGGTCTCTGAAGCAGACCCTAGCAGGAAATTTTAGGAATCTTCTTTTTTTTTTGAAAAAAAGGAAATTTCAGGAATCTATAAGTGGTTGGAGTACAAAGGATCAGGAATTCAGGATTCAGGCAGAATACTAATACATATGCATCTTTTCTGACCATTTCTTGTTGCCCAAACACCCATTAAGTTCAATGGCAACGACCAGTATGAGGCAGAGAAAAAGCCCAGTTTTGTTATAATAGTTCCTACATTTTCCCCTAATGAAAAAGCAAATCTGTATGCATATACCGATATACACTTCCCCTGTGATATTTTTTTGATGTTTTCTGTTTTGAATTGGTGTTGATATGAGTATGCAGAGTTCATATTGCTAAATATGTTAATAATTTGAGAAAAAAAAGTTACAACAATAACATTATTTCTTCTATTAATTAGATTTTCAAATTCTACGGATATGATTACAACTTAAAGGTGAATGAAAGTTTATAATCTTTATTTCATCTTACAATAAAAAATTGGATTGAATTTCATTTTTAAATAAAATTTAAAGATTTGTTTGAGTATCATATCTTTTTTAGTAAAACTTAATTGTTTCTTTCCTTTCTATGACAAACTCAACGACGAAAGATATCCATTGGTTTGCCCACTTCACAGAATCAGACAAGTTAAAGGCCTATTGCTTTCTGACACGGGTAAGTGTTTGTTCAAATCAGAACTTATCAGGTGTCTAATTGCAATCATTGCATAAATCACGCTATAAAGGATCAACAGTCACTGAAAACCAGGCCATTTTCACACTGTTCAGCGGCAGATTCCTACCAGGCAATGCATTAAAGGAACAACATTAAAATTCACTTGCACTTGAAATTCTATAAGTCAGCTTTGAAAAGCGCAGATAGAGAGAAAGAGAGTAAGCTTTATTACACTGGTGACTAGTTCAGTTCATACAGCCGGGTTTCTCTTCTCTCTTTCCTATTAAAACACAGCTTCAAAATGGCGGCTACGCTGGCTATATATAGAGCTCGGGCTGATGATTATGATCATCTCATCATCAACCTTCTTCTTATCCACCGAGTGTAGGAAGAAGTTACTTGCTACTTTGATTCTCTTAGTGGCTTTCTACAAGTTTTAATGTTTCTACCAGGATTGATGGGAAGCGCATTAATGTGTACACATCTTGTCAAGAACGTTTCACCTGCATGGCTAACTAATCAATTATCTATTTTCTCTTTGGTTGAAAATGTTTTTGACTTCTAATTGTTTTCAATGCTGGCTATTACAGGGAAGCTAGCCAGGGGGGCACTGTTGAACAGTATGTCATTCCTTTTCGCTTGATGTTCCATCGGTTTTTTTATAATCAGTGTTATCGTAAAAGAATTAGTACTCGACTTCTGATTCGTTAATTGTGTTGAGATTTGTTTCAAATTTATAGGATATTGTTTGATGGATAAAAATATTTGTAAAATAAGAATTTTAAGAGAAAAATATTTTTAATAAATAAATTTGACTTGTAAGAAAAAAATTTTAAAAGGAAAAATATTTTTAATAAACAAGTTTGACTTAGACAAAAAGAATTTTAAGAAGAGAAGAATTTTTAATAGGTAAGTTTAAATGGTTATAAATAGGTAAAGTCTCTATAGGATTAGATATTAGAAAAAGATGTAAGAGAGTTCTAAGGTTTTGTGAGATAGATATCTCATAATAGTATTGGAACTCTACGTCTTATGGGTGTATATATTTGTGAGTGGACTAGAGGCGACTGAGAGAATTTACATAGATATGATGTATGTGAGCAAATGAGTATGTGTTTGATTATGTTGAAAGGGTACACAAGGGTTTGAGTTTGTATTTTTTTTGAGTTGAGAATATTTTATAGGACTAGAGTAGATTGAGAATGTCTTATGTGTATTGATTGTTTAGTAAGGTTGATGATTTGATGTATGATTGTAATTCTCTACAATTAGTGGATCTTGTTTCTCATCCGTGGATGTAGGTTAGTTGGACCGAACCACGTTAAATTGTTATCTTTTTTGTGTTTGATTTATTATTTGATTTCACTTCCGCTGATGTGATTAGATTGAAAGCTTTTAATCCAATAAATAAATTGTGTGAGCAGTGGGTCGAAAACAAACAAAGCTGACATGGATGAGACTGAAAGGGTAACATTAAAAACTAATGTACAAATTTCCATGATGTAATTATCATTTATCACTGGTGTTTGATCTTTGTTTGAAGGCTGTTCCGACTTCCAACATCAAATGGGGCAAGAATTGGCTGGTGAATGACATACACCCATGACTTACATATCTTTGAGCATGCTGAAATTGTTGAAAGTTGAAACCCTTTTCAACGGAGTGTCCAAACATATTTCAACGTGGAGCAGGTTTTCATTTCTAATTCTATTGCAAGAGATACAAGGCAAAGATTTGCAGAGATAGAAATGTTCATCATATATGGTTGTTGTCAGCTATGCTGAATTATTCTTCCATTTCCTTCAAAAGAAAATAAGTTCCAGTACTTTGACCTTTATTTTGCTCAGCCTCAGACCAGATTGATTGTATTGTACTGTCATTGCGTATATGTCATCTCCAGCTTGCCTAAGGTTGCCTTTTAATCTTTCATCCAAATAACCTTTGAGATTACCTAAATGGTTGAGTAAAATTACACTCAATAATCAATGGAAGACATGAGTAACAAGCTATAAATTAACCAAGACAAACGCATAAGGCAAACAAATTTACACAAGTTAATTTTGAGTGATGTTGATACCATTAGCCATGGCAACTCCACTGGGAAGAACAGCAGTATAGAATATCAAAAGAAATTATCATATACATGATTTGTTCACAATCTGCTAAGGTGGAAATTATCAATTGAAGCGTTCAATTGATACATGTAAGTCATCCCTTCATGTTGAGGCCTTCATATTGCTGCAATTTACTGGCAACTACAACAATCTCCTTTTGGAGGAGACGTGTACGCTGGTTTCGGCTCTATGATGTTTTGCTTTCCTTCAGCAGACCCTTCTTGCGAAAGACTAGGAGCTTCCATCATCTATAAGACAGTCCATAGCCGGTCAGAACTAAGAGAAGAGATTATGCCATTATTTTTTTTTTAATCTAAGCCATAACTTTCTTTGCTCATGGTACCACCCTTTATCAATCAATCATCCAAATTGTTGCTATCATCATCATTCATGAAGAATCATTGTGTTTGTTTAAGAGTTTGGAAACAACCATCTTAATGATTGACTTATATAAAACATAACCGCACTGCAAGGTTACAGATTATTTTGAACTGACCCACCTGCCAATAATATCTACTATGTTGTATATATTACTGGAAAGGTGAAGAGCAGACTTGCAGTAACAAAAATCTACCTTCAATGCAAGCTCCTCAAAGCATTTCTCCACGTTTTCTCTTGTTTTAGTACTGCATTCAAAAAACATATATCCAAGCTCTTTTGCAAGTGCAGTCCCTTCTTCTCTACTTACAGCCTTTTCAGGATCCTGAAAAGTAAATATATCAGATATAATGAAGCAATAGGAATAAAGAGAAAATGACTCAAAAAGAAGTCCTCAAAAGAGAAAACAAAAGACGCAATATCAGCAGACTGGAAATATAAGAAGGCTGGTATTCCTCTAAGGAATCAATTTTTTCCAGGTTTTCCACAGTTTGAGAGGCAGTTATGATAAAGAAGGATTAATAAGACAAAATCAGTAATTTTTATTTCTAGTTTTCTACCATTTTCCAGGGATGTTCAGAGTCAGTTGAACGAACAACTGAATACACGGAGAAATAAATTATGAGGATCTAGAGCCTACTTTCATATGCAAAGGAAAGCAATAGTTAAGGTAGGCAATGCAAAAGTGTGAGTGACATGTAGTTTTAAAATCTGCATGAAACACTCATTTATTATCTCCAAGATCTGAAGGTTACACCACAATCCTATGGTTTTTTCTCATGAAATCTTGTATCTACTTTACTCTTGAGAACAAAAATATGGGGAAAACATAAGTAGAGTAGTTTCTTATTGGCTATCGATGAATTAAGATGACATGAAAGGCAAAATCCTTATAGCATTTATGGGGGCAATGGCCTCTTTACAACTTATAAAATTTTTCTTAACAACTTTGTTCCATGAGGTTTCTTCAACATGAGAGAGCAAACGAGCTTTGTCCATAATTGCCCATGAACAATTTATTAATCTATCCTTAACCTTCACAGGTGAGTTGTGACGGGGTCAATTTATCTTCAATTATTAATTTTAAGGATCCAAAGAGAACACTAGACTTACTCTATCAACTTTATTTCCAACAAGCATCTTGACACAGTCCTTATTGGTAGAATAGAGCTCCACTTCTTTGGCCCAAACATCAGACAAACTCGTGAAGGTTTCTCTCTCTGTTACGTCATAAACTATAACCAAAGCCAAGAAATAATTCAAACAATTCTGGCCAATTTAAACCATGGGCAAACAATATATGTAATTCAACACCTTGAGCAGCATAGATAAGAATCATGATTGAAAATTTATTTGGGACAAGAATATTATTTCTAGGATCAAGCAATCATGATTGTGGAATGATGAGCCAACGTAAAGGTGGCAAATACTTGTGCCATAAACAAAAATGCATCGAATTGTATGATAGGGCTCCTTCAAGCCAGCAAAGCAGATGTTTGCAGAAAGCATTGACAAAGGCATTGAGAATACAACTAAATTATGGAATGAAGGGTACAAAGAAATGACTTTCTATTTTCAGCACTTATGTGTGTGAGAGAGAAAGAAACCAAACATGTCCAAACTGCTTTCTGTATGCTTCCATCTTTTAAATTAAACCACGATTGCGTTTATTTTTCTTAAACAATTCATTACCTATTTAACCTATATTTGTCATAATCTTTCAGCATCTATAACCCAACTCCTGCTTACTCAGCCCAGGAAGATAAGCTTGATCAACATTTTAACATTATGCAAGTCTATATTCTGACTGTGTCTGCTATACTGACATAAGAACCAGTTCCTAGTCTTTTTATCAGGCACACGAATGCTTATGATAGCATAGCGCAGTGATATCAGATTGCTAAGAACTTGAAATTTGAAACCAGTGACAGGCTCCGTCAAACAAAATATGAAAGTGGAGTAACACATACATGCACCAGAATGATGAACCTACCAAGTATGATCCCATGGGCACCTCTATAGTAAGAGCTTGTTAATGTTCTGTACCTTTCCTGTCCAGCTACAAGAAGCATTATGGTTCCACAAATCAATCATGTTTTCTCCATGTTGCCAGACAATTATTTTAATGTTTTTTTATAAACAAAAAAACTGAATAGCTAATAAAAGATCAAAGAAGCAACATCAAGCTAACCAGGTCAAGAAAGCATTTTCTTCTCACATTTGAAAAGTAGCAACCTACAGCTAACAACAAAATTAAAAAACCCGGGAACTCATTTCAACTGGTTAATACATCATCAATTGTATGTCTTTTAACCAAACACGATTTACCTAAATTTCCTGAAAATTTGATTTCAAAGTTGATGCTGCAGAGTGCAGAATTGGTGCCATAACAAAAATAGCAGATAAAAAAACATAACAAAAACATTTTTATATAATTCTGTAGGATGGTTTTTATGAGAAAACTTTGTCAAAATTTGCAGTGGTAACAGTTTAATGATAGAGTTAAATAAAGGTCAACATCCAAGCGGCAAGAAGTGGAACAATAGGAACAAAACTCGGTTAAAAATGATGCCAATGTCATGCTAATGCATTAGTGAACATTAAGTCAGTAAAAATGAGCAGTCTCCTATGTGAAATAAAGAAGTCAATTATAAGCATAGACAATTGACTTCAATTAGACTGACAGATTTTGACAAAGAAACCAAATTTGAAACTGAAAGACTAATGATTGAGTTTCATCCATACCAGTATCCCAAATAGTAAGCTTTAATCTCTTCCCACCAACAGTTAACAACTTGATGTTAAGATCCACACCTACAACATAGATTCAAACAAAACCCAAATCAAATTTTACCATAAAACTAATAAAAGATCCAGGACTGGTAAAGTTAAGAAAAAAGGAAGAGAAAATGAACCAATGGTTTTATCTAGATCTGCTGCAGAATCTGAAATGAAGCTAGCGGCCAAACTACTCTTGCCGACAGCCAGGTCTCCGATCAACACGATCTTAAATGAATGATCATAGCTTTCACTACTTTGTCCTGAAGATGATCCCATTTCAATATTTCTATCCAAAAACAAAAACTCAAACTTTTAAATCTCTCTTTTTTCTCTTCTTCTTCCGCAAAGTCCCTGTTGTATCCAATGATGATCACACCCTTAGAAAAACAAACTTGGGTGAGAAAATGAATGGCTTCTTTCTCTCAAAAGTACAGAGAAAAAGAAATGTAATATATAAAGAAAAAAAAGGAAGGAAATCTTTTTAATAGAGAAAGAAAGAATCAATGCGTTCCTTGAGACAGAAGCTGAATCAATGCGTTCCTTGAGACAGAGCTAAGGAAAAACGCTACTGGAACATCGACTCAAATGTTCTTCTTTTTCTTCTTTTTTTTTTTTTTCTTGTCTTCTATTCATTGATGCGCACGTGTTTCTAGAGAGAATAAGGTTAAGAATGATATACAAGGAATGAATAAGGCTAAGGGCTCGCACGCTACAAAACATAGATTCGGGGATATACTATACACGAAATCTTGTAATGACAAATTTGAGATTCTCCATATTTAGCATCCCTTTTGTGATAATTTGGCTTCAAGGTAAAAAATATAAAGAATGAATTAAACGTGCGATGCTCAAGCAGCATATTTTCAGGGAAAGTAAAAGAAATGTGAAGGAAAATGGATAACCACTTACCTTTTTGTTTCAAGTTTTTTGTCAGTTTCTTTCTTTATATCCAAGAAAGTGATCTCCATCAGATATTAATCAAGATCGTAGAAAAATCACACGCATTCAAAGTTTAAATTCATACGTAAGGGCAGCGCCACCAGACCAATTTAGGTAAGAGAGCGGCGCGTGAGGCTAAGGATTGATAAATCCACTCCCAAGTTCTTCTCACAGGGATCCTGAGTCAAAAATGTTCACGGTTAGTTTGTTTAACATGAGCCTTACTGCTTCGTATGTTTATCTCTTGTCGATTCTCCCTTATCCTTCTTTCACCTGCACCTGTTGACCATGTTGGCGTTGTAATGATGAGACTGTCTATAGGCTTAATCCTTCTCTTTGACAGGTTTAGTTGCTAATTTTGCATAAAATAACTAATAAATTTTCAAAAAAAAAAAGGATGGTATCTTTACGATTTTTGGCTTTATCAAAATGCAGCTGCAGGTACATTTCAAAACCAAGCCACTAGAAGCAAATAAACCTCGACCGCCCCCTGGAGCCAATGGTACTGCAGCGCCGGGTGTTCCTCCAAGGCCTTTGCCCCCACCACGTCATGCTCCGCCACCCCCACCCCCTGACCACAAGAACTGCCACAAACACTCCTAGAGCCCCTCCACCTCCAGTGCCTGGTTCATTACCACCAGCACCACCTCCTATGGTCCTAGGCCTATGCCTCCATGGGTAACCCCTATTGCTCCATACCCACCTACTGGGGGTAGTTGGGCAATGGCAAATTTCACTCCTGGGCTTCCAACAATCCCTCCTCCACAAGGTTTTCCTGGTCAACCGATGCAGGGCCAGGGATCGCACCCACCCCCACCACCTCCTAACATGGGAGAGTAGGTTATCTGGCTTTCAGTGTCTCGATAGGCATCTCTCTATCGAGATTTTTTAATCATTTTTGTCAGATATGCAGATCAAACTGGTGATGGGATTTACCATTAGCTGAGCAAAAACATTTTTTATCATCAATAATACGATATCTGCTTTTAACATAATTAATTTTAAATAATACGACGAATAAATAATTTTTTTTAAATATAATATTAATTAATAAATTTATAATTCAAATATCATAATAAAAAATTTTTAAATTAAAATATCATATTAAATATTTTTTTATAATTCAAAATTTTTTTCTACAATTAACCTAAAATGCATGTCATACCAAAAAAAAAAGGAAATGAAATGCACGAATCAGAACAAGGTGCAAATAACAGAATTATCATCGAGCATGTGCTCCAAAGAATTTTCATAAACACAGAGAGTTGGCCGCAGACTCCAACAGATCCATTGTGTATTTGAGGGTAACATTTTGTCGCTTTTCTATAAGCATAATTTGTCGCTGATGTTGACCTGACGAATAGTATAGATATGTTTTTGTCTATGCATAATATACAACCCACTCATTCGAAACATTATACAGGAAAACAACCAGAAGTTTAGAGACATGCAGTAAAACCCAATGAACAGATATATTCCTCTGTCGAGTCATGCTTAGCAACCGTCAGCAGTACAACTATTTTCCTGCGACATGGCGAAGCGTGGAAGACTGCCAACTGTTTTGAGTACCCTTTCTCTCTTCAATAAGAGTTTTTGTAATCAAGTATTCTGAAAATAGTAGATTACCATTAGCAGCTGGGCAGGCAGAAACAACGTCTCAAATCAACTCTATCTATTTATAGCTTATGCTCCATTGGGTTAATGCTAGTTTTTGTATCTTAACTTTGAAAAAAATGTATAAATTAATACTTAGAAATATAAAATGTATAAATTGATACGTAAATTTTCAAATTGGATAATATTTTGAGTCATTAATTACCAACTTCAATCAATTTATATATGTAATTCGTGACCAATAAAATAAAATCATATGTACACCACGCACCAAATAAAAAATTTTCAATAATTTTTCAATTTTCACATAAATGCCAAATGACAACCTTTAAATTATTATTAAAATACTCTTTTATTTATTTATTTTTTTAAATCAAGAAAAAAGACAAGAGAATGGAGAAATGCATTTCCTCTTCCTCCGTTTTTTGTTCTCGATTTTTTTTTTCATTTTTCAAAAAAATCATAAAAAAAAATTTTATTAATATATTTTTAATTTTAATTAAAAAATTACATATTTTAATCACCAATCATGTATTATCACATGACATTTATGCGAAAATTAAAAAATTGTTTAAAATTTTTTCTTTGACATGCTACTATTGATCAAACGTTACATGGACAAATTGGTTAACTATATTAGTTGATGGTAAAAAAAAACAGTTAACTTGGAGAGAGATAAAAACAGTTTGCTGCTGTTAGTCTAAAGTTGTCTCAATTGTAAATCAAATGAATCAACTATTATAAAAAAAGATTTGAGATAATCTTTCATTCTAAGACAAAAGGATAAAGGACAGAGAATAGTTTAAATATGGATAAGACTATCGAGAGCATGGATGAAATGAATTAGGAGATAAGAGTAAAGATGAGCAATTTTTGTCCAAACTAATAAAAAGGCTAAAACTTTTTTGGATTCTGTTGGGGCAAAGCAATATGTTAAAATGCAAAAGGTGTTCACTTGCTAAACATAATCTAATTAACTTGAAAACAAACAAACCCTGCACTGAAAAAGCATTAAATTTGTGATCCACGCATCTTGTAGCGAAAACAATACCAGCAACTTGTCCCTTTCCTCTCATATGCCAATGTAATTTGTCCAAACAAATGCTGAAAAACTTCCAAACAAGTAATAATGACAGAAAATCATGTGAAGAAAGGAGTATAACTTTTTTTTTTTAATGATAATTGATTCGTTCTGCCGTTTATATGGGACTAGCATTACTTTTGTTTGTAATAAACTCACTCCTCTCAATTTATTCTAAGAATCTTACAGTCACAGACTTCTGACACGTTACTTACTAAATGGGAGGTTCAAAATCCCAAGGCCATCTCACATGCGAAGCATTCACCTTTAGCTAGAATAGGTGGTCGGAAGAGATTCAGCACCGGCAAGGTGGAAGGTAGATAAGGTTTCTTGGATTTGTATAGCAAGGAAAATGGGGCGGCATGGGATTTTGCTTTTCCTTCTTTTATAGAACGAATGGATCAAGCAAAGGAAGTAGGGGACATGTCCTTCCAATATTTTTTATTTTTATAGAATTGGAAATTCTTACAACAAGGTGACATTTAGAAGTTTCTATGAGCCGATTAGGCTAAACTGACGTTTAAAAATTTTTATCCGGGGTCCAACTCGGCAGTCGGCATGTTGGCTCAAATAGGCTTGAAAATTTTCTAAAAAAATATTAGAATCTGACAACTCTTTTCTCAAAATTAAGAAGAAAAAAAGAAAACTTCAAATTCCACACCCAAAAGTAATGCCAAGCCCATCCTAAAAGCCTTGTCTGGTTAGTCATTAACGTCAAGCCTAGCCCATCCCGGAAAGAGTTGGTGAAAGAGTTGGTTCAAATGCTCTTACTTTTGGGCTGAGATTTTCACGACAAGTCAACAACAACTCCATTAGCTAACTAGTAAGCTTTTTTTGTTTTACAATTCCAATCACCCGATAAACCCTGACTGAAAATGCCTGTGGCCTTCCGTCGCTTTGTCACCTCCATTTTCCAGAAAACCCCACAAAACCTCCTTTATTCCCCTAATGAAAAAGCAAATCTGTATGCATATACCGATATACACTTCCCCTGTGATTTTTTTTGATGTTTTCTGTTTTGAATTGGTGTTGATATGAGCATGCAGAGTTCATATTGCTAAATATGTTAATAATTTGAGAAAAAAAAGTTACAACAATAAAATTATTTCTTCTATTAATTGGATTTTCAAATTCTACGGATATGATTACAACTTAAAGGTGAATGAAAGTTCATAATCTTTATTTCATCTTACAATAAAAAATTGGATTGAATTTCATTTTTAAATAAAATTTAAAGATTTCTTTGAGTATCATATCGTTTTTAGTAAAACTTAATTGTTTCTTTCCTTTCCATCATAAACTCAACGACGAAAGATATCCATTGGTTTGCCCACTTCACAGAATCAGACAAGTTAAAGGCCTATTGCTTTCTGACACGGGTAAGTGTTTGTTCAAATCAGAACTTATCCGGTGTCTAATTGCAATCATTGCATAAATCACGCTATAAAGGATGAACAGTCACTGAAAACCAGGCCATTTTTACACTGTTCAGAGGCAGATTCCTACCAGGCAATGCATTAAAGGAACAACATTAAAATTCACTTGCACTTGAAATTCTATAAGTCAGCTTTGAAAAGCGCAGATAGAAAGAAAGAGAGTAAGCTTTATTACACTAGTGACTAGTTCAGTTCATACAGCCGGGTTTCTCTTCTCTCTTTCCTATTAAAACACAGCTTCAAAATGGCGGCTACACTGGCTATATATAGAGCTCGGGCTGATGATTATGATCATCTCATCATCAATCTTCTTCTTATCCAACGAGTGTAGGAAGAAGTTACTTGCTACTTTGATTCTCTTAGTGGCTTTCTAAAAGTTTTAATGTTTCTACCAGGATTGATGGGAAGCGCATTAATGTGTACACATCTTCTCAAGAACGTTTCACCTGCATGGCTAACTAACCAATTATCTATTTTCTCTTTGGTTGAAAATGTTTTTGACTTCTTATTGTTTTCAATGCTGGCTATTACAGGGAAGCTAGCCATGGGGGGCACTGTTGAACAGTATGTCATTCCTTTTCGCTTGATGTTCCATCGGTTTCTTTATAATCAGGTTATCATAGAAGAATTAGTATTCGATCTCTGATTCGTTAATTGTGTTGAGATTTGTTTGAAATTTATCAGATATTATTTTGATGGACAATAATATTTGTAAAAGAAGAATTTTAAGAGAAAAAGATTTTAATAAATAAGTTTGACTTTTAAGAAAAAAATTTTAAAAGGAAAAAGAATTTTAATAGACAAGTTTGACTTATAGAAGAAAAATTTTAAGAGGAGAAGAATTCTTAATAAGTAAGTTTGAATTGTTATAAACAGTTAAAGTCTTTACAGGGTTAGATATTAGAAAAAGATATAAGAGAGTTGTAGGGTTTTGTAGAATAGATACCTCATAGTAGTATTGGAACTCTACGTCTTATGAGTGTATATGTTTGTGAGTGGACTAGAGGAGACTGAGAGGGTCTACATAGGTATGATGTATGGGAGCATATGAGTATATGTTTGGTTATGTTGAAAGGATGCACAAGAGTTTGAGTTTGTGTTTTTTTGGATTAAGAATATTTTATAGGACTAGAAGAAATTGAGAGTGTCTTATGTGTATTGATTGTTGAGTAAAATTGATGATTTGATGTATGTTTGTAATTCTCTACAATTAGTGGATTTTGTTTCTCATCTGTGGATGTAAGTTAGTTGAACCGAACCACGTTAAATTGTTGTCTCTTATGTATTTATTGTTTGATTTTACTTTTGTTTATGTGATTGGATTAGAGACTTTTAGCCCAACAAATTGTGTAAGCAGTGGGTCGAAAACAAACAAAGCTGACATGTAAGGGTAACATTAAAAATTAATGTACAAATTTCCATGATGTAATCATCATTTATCACTGGTGTTTGATCTTTGTTTGAAGGCTGTTCCGACTTCCAACATCGAATGGGGCAAGAATTGGCCGGTGAATGACATACACCCATGACTTACATATCTTTGAGTATCATATCTTTTTTAGTAAAACTTAATTGTTTCTTTCCTTTCTACGACAAACTCAACGACGAAAGATATCCATTGGTTTGCCCACTTCACAGAATCAGACAAGTTAAAGGCCTATTGCTTTCTGACACGGGTAAGTATTTGTTCAAATCAGAACTTATCCGGTGTCTAATTGCAATCATTGCATAAATCACGCTATAAAGGATGAACAGTCACTGAAAACCAGGCCATTTTCACACTGTTCAGCGGCAGATTCCTACCAGGCAATGCATTAAAGGAACAACATTAAAATTCACTTGCACTTGAAATTCTATAAGTCAGCTTTGAAAAGCGCAGATAGAGAGAAAGAGAGTAAGCTTTATTACACTAGTGAATAGTTCAGTCCATACAGCCGGGTTTCTCTTCTCTCTTTCCTATTAAAACACAGCTTCAAAATGGCAGCTACGCTGGCTATATATAGAGCTCGGGCTGATGATTATGATCATCTCATCATCGACCTTCTTCTTATCCACCGAGTGTAGGAAGAAGTTACTTGCTACTTTGATTCTCTTAGTGGCTTTCTAAAAGTTTTAATGTTTCTACCAGGATTGATGGGAAGCGCATTAATGTGTACACATCTTGTCAAGAACGTTTCACCTGCACGGCTCACTAATCAATTATCTATTTTCTCTTTGGTTGAAAATGTTTTTGACTGCTTACTGTTTTCAATGCTGGCTATTACAGGGAAGCTAGCCTTGGGGGGCACTGTTGAACAGTATGTCATTCCTTTCGCTTGATGTTCCATCGGTTTCTTTATAATCAGGGTTATCGTAGAAGAATTAGTACTCGACCTCTGATTCGTTAATTGTGTTAAGATTTTTTTAAAATTTATCAAATATTTTTTTATGGATAAGAATATTGGTAAAAGAAGAATTTTAAGAGAAAAATATTCTTAATAAATAAGTTTGATTTGTAAGAAAAAAATTTTAAAATGAAAAAAATTTTTAATAGATAAATTTGACTTATAGAAGAAGAATTTTAAGAGGAGAGAAATTTTTAATAGGTAAGTTTGAATGATTATAAATAGGTAAAGTTCCTACAGAATTAGATATGAGAAAAAGATGTAAGAGAGTTATAAGGTTTTGTGAGATAGATATCTCATAATAGTATTAGAACTCTACATCTTATGGGTGTGTATGTTTGTGAGTGGACTAGAGGCGACTGAGAGGGTTTACATAGGTATGATGTATGTGAGCATATGAGTATGTATTTGGTTATGTTGAAAGAGTGCACAAGGGTTTGAGTTTGTATTTTTTTGGGTTGAAAATATTTCATAGGACTAAATGAGATTGAGAGTGTCTTATGTGTATTGATTGTTGAGTAAGGTTGATGATTTGATGTATGTTTGTAATTCTCTACAATTAGTTGATCTTGTTTCTCATCCGTGAATGTAGGTTAGTTGGACCGAATCACGTTAAATTGTTATCTCTTGTGTGTTTAATTTATTACTTGATTTTACTTTCGTTGATATGATTAAATTGAAAGCTTTTAGTCCAACAAATTATGTGAGCAGTGGGTCGAAAACAAACAAAGCTGACGTGGATGAGACGGAAAGGGTAACATTAAAAACTAATGTACAAATTTCCACAATGTAATTATCATTTATCACTGGTGTTTGATCTTTGTTTGAAGGCTGTTCCGACTTCCAACATCAAATGGGGCAAGAATTGGCTGGTGAATGACATACACCCATGACTTACATATCTTTGAGCATGCCGAAATTGTTGAAAGTTGAAACCCTTTTCAACAGAGTGTCCAAACATATTTCAACGTGGAGCAGGTTTTCATTTCTAATTCTATTGCAAGAGATACAAGGCAAAGATTTGCAGAGATAGAAATGTTCATCATATATGGTTGTTGTCAGCTATGCTGAATTATTCTTCCATTTCCTTCAAAAGAAAATAAGTTCCAGTACTTTGACCTTTATTTTGCTCAGCCTCAGACCAGATTGATTGTATTGTACTGTCATTGCGTATATGTCATCTCCAGCTTGCCTAAGGTTGCCTTTTAATCTTTCATCCAAATAACCTTTGAGATTACCTAAATGGTTGAGTAAAATTACACTCAATAATCAATGGAAGACATGAGTAACAAGCTATAAATTAACCAAGACAAACGCATAAGGCAAACAAATTTACACAAGTTAATTTTGAGTGATGTTGATACCATTAGCCATGGCAACTCCACTGGGAAGAACAGCAGTATAGAATATCAAAAGAAATTATCATATACATGATTTGTTCACAATCTGCTAAGGTGGAAATTATCAATTGAAGCGTTCAATTGATACATGTAAGTCAGCCCTTCATGTTGAGGCCTTCATATTGCTGCAATTTACTGGCAACTACAACAATCTCCTTTTGGAGGAGACGTGTACGCTGGTTTCGGCTCTATGATGTTTTGCTTTCCTTCAGCAGACCCTTCTTGCGAAAGACTAGGAGCTTCCATCATCTATAAGACAGTCCATAGCCGGTCAGAACTAAGAGAAGAGATTATGCCATTATTTTTTTTTTAATCTAAGCCATAACTTTCTTTGCTCATGGTACCACCCTTTATCAATCAATCATCCAAATTGTTGCTATCATCATCATTCATGAAGAATCATTGTGTTTGTTTAAGAGTTTGGAAACAACCATCTTAATGATTGACTTATATAAAACATAACCGCACTGCAAGGTTACAGATTATTTTGAACTGACCCACCAGCCAATAATATCTACTATGTTGTATATATTACTGGAAAGGTGAAGAGCAGACTTGCGGTAACAAAAATCTACCTTCAATGCAAGCTCCTCAAAGCATCTCTCCACGTTTTGTCTTGTTTTAGTACTGCATTCAAGAAACATACATCCAAGCTCTTTTGCAAGTGCAGTCCCTTCTTCTCTACTTACAGCCCTTTCAGGATCCTGAAAAGTAAATATATCAGATATAATGAAGCAATAGGAATAAAGAGAAAATGACTCAAAAAGAAGTCCTCAAAAGAGAAAACAAAAGACGCAATATCAGCAGACTGGAAATATAAGAAGGCTGGTATTCCTCTAAGGAATCAATTTTTTCCAGGTTTCCACAGTTTGAGAGGCAGTTATGATAAAGAAGGATTAATAAGACAAAATCAGTAATTTTTTATCTTCTAGTTTTCTAACCATTTTCCAGGGACGTTCAGGAGTCAGTTGAACGAACAACTGAATACACGGAGAAATAATTATGAGGATCTAGAGCCTACTTTCATATGCAAAGGAAAGCAATAGTTAAGGTAGGCAATGCAAAAGTGTGAGTGACATGTAGTTTTAAAATCTGCATGAAACACTCATTTATTATCCTCCAAGATCTGAAGGTTACACCACAATCCTATGGTTTTTTCTCATGAAATCTTGTATCTACTTTACTCTTGAGAACAAAATATGGGGAAGAACATAAGTAGAGTAGTTTCTTATTGGCTATCCGATGAATTAAGATGACATGAAAGGCAAAATCCTTATAGCATTTATGGGGTGCAATGGCCTCTTTACAACTTATAAAATTTTTCTTAACAACTTTGTTCCATGAGGTTTCTTCAACATGAAGAGAGCAAACGAGCTTTGTCCCATAATTGCCCATTAACAATTTATTAATCTATCCTTAACCTTTCCACAGGTGAGTTGTGACGGGGGGTCAATTTATCTTCAATTATTAATTTTAAGGATCCAAAAGAGAACACTAGACTTACTCTATCAACTTTATTTCCAACAAGCATCTTGACACAGTCCTTATTGGTAGAATAGAGCTCCACTTCTTTGGCCCAAACATCAGACAAACTCGTGAAGGTTTCTCTCTCTGTTACGTCATAAACTATAACCAAAGCCAAGAAATAATTCAAACAATTCTGGCAATTTAAACCATGGGCAAACAATATATGTAATTCAACACCTTGAGCAGCATAGATAAGAATCATGATTGAAAATTTATTTGGGACAAGAATATTATTTCTAGGATCAAGCAATCATGATTGTGGAATGATGAGCCAACGTAAAGGTGGCAAATACTTGTGCCATAAACAAAAATGCATCGAATTGTATGATAGGGCTCCTTCAAGCCAGCAAAGCAGATGTTTGCAGAAAGCATTGACAAAGGCATTGAGAATACAACTAAATTATGGAATGAAGGGTACAAAGAAATGACTTTCTATTTTCAGCACTTATGTGTGTGAGAGAGAAAGAAACCAAACATGTCCAAACTGCTTTCTGTATGCTTCCATCTTTTTAAATTAAACCACGATTGCGTTTATTTTTCTTAAACAATTCATTACCTATTTAACCTATATTTGTCATAATCTTTCAGCATCTATAACCCAACTCCTGCTTACTCAGCCCAGGAAGATAAGCTTGATCAACATTTTAACATTATGCAAGTCTATATTCTGACTGTGTCTGCTATACTGACATAAGAACCAGTTCCTAGTCTTTTTATCAGGCACACGAATGCTTATGATAGCATAGCGCAGTGATATCAGATTGCTAAGAACTTGAAATTTGAAACCAGTGACAGGCTCCGTCAAACAAAATATGAAAGTGGAGTAACACATACATGCACCAGAATGATGAACCTACCAAGTATGATCCCATGGGCACCTCTATAGTAAGAGCTTGTTAATGTTCTGTACCTTTCCTGTCCAGCTACAAGAAGCATTATGGTTCCACAAATCAATCATGTTTTCTCCATGTTGCCAGACAATTATTTTAATGTTTTTTTATAAACAAAAAAACTGAATAGCTAATAAAAGATCAAAGAAGCAACATCAAGCTAACCAGGTCAAGAAAGCATTTTCTTCTCACATTTGAAAAGTAGCAACCTACAGCTAACAACAAAATTAAAAAACCCGGGAACTCATTTCAACTGGTTAATACATCATCAATTGTATGTCTTTTAACCAAACACGATTTACCTAAATTTCCTGAAAATTTGATTTCAAAGTTGATGCTGCAGAGTGCAGAATTGGTGCCATAACAAAAATAGCAGATAAAAAAACATAACAAAAACATTTTTATATAATTCTGTAGGATGGTTTTTATGAGAAAACTTTGTCAAAATTTGCAGTGGTAACAGTTTAATGATACAGTTAAATAAAGGTCAACATCCAAGCGGCAAGAAGTGGAACAATAGGAACAAAACTCGGTTAAAAATGATGCCAATGTCATGCTAATGCATTAGTGAACATTAAGTCAGTAAAAATGAGCAGTCTCCTATGTGAAATAAAGAAGTCAATTATAAGCATAGACAATTGACTTCAATTAGACTGACAGATTTTGACAAAGAAACCAAATTTGAAACTGAAAGACTAATGATTGAGTTTCATCCATACCAGTATCCCAAATAGTAAGCTTTAATCTCTTCCCACCAACAGTTAACAACTTGATGTTAAGATCCACACCTACAACATAGATTCAAACAAAACCCAAATCAAATTTTACCATAAAACTAATAAAAGATCCAGGACTGGTAAAGTTAAGAAAAAAGGAAGAGAAAATGAACCAATGGTTTTATCTAGATCTGCTGCAGAATCTGAAATGAAGCTAGCGGCCAAACTACTCTTGCCGACAGCCGTGTCGCCGATCAACACGATCTTAAATGAATGATCATAGCTTTCACTACTTTGTCCTGAAGATGATCCCATTTCAATATTTCTATCCAAAAACAAAAACTCAAACTTTTAAATCTCTCTTTTTTCTCTTCTTCTTCCGCAAAGTCCCTGTTGTATCCAATGATGATCACACCCTTAGAAAAACAAACTTGGGTGAGAAAATGAATGGCTTCTTTCTCTCAAAAGTACAGAGAAAAAGAAATGTAATATATAAAGAAAAAAAAGGAAGGAAATCTTTTTAATAGAGAAAGAAAGAATCAATGCGTTCCTTGAGACAGAAGCTGAATCAATGCGTTCCTTGAGACAGAAGCTAAAGGAAAACTGCTAACTGGAACATCTGACATCAACATGTTCTTTCCTTTTTCTTCTTTTTTTTTTTTTCTTGTCTTTCTTTTTCATTGATGCGCCGTAGTTTTCTAGAGAGAGAATAAAGGTTAAGTAATGATATACACGGAATGGAATAAGGCTAAGGGTCGCACGCTATAAAGAACATATATTCAGGGAATATATATACACTGAAATCTTGGTAATGACAAAATTTGGAGATTCTCCAATATTTGCCATCCCACTTTTGCTGATAATTTGGCTTCCAAGGTAAAAAAGTATACAAGGAATGGAATAAAGGGTTGCATGCTCCAAGCAGCATATTTTCAGGGAAAGTATAAAGAAATGTGAAAGGGAAAATGGATAAAACCACTTGACCTGTTTGTGTTCAAGTTTGTTGTCAGTTTCTTTCTTTATAATCCAAGAAAGTGATCTCCATCAGATATTAATCAAGATCGTAGAAAAATCACACGCATTCAAAGTTTAAATTAAGATAAGTTATTTTAATTGTAATTAAAATATATATTAAATAAATTTTATTATAATTAATATTTAAATTTAATTGATGATAAGATGAGTTCAAATTTTTTTTTATAAATTCAAATTAGAAATTTTGGGAATCCTACATCTAACCGCGCAAATTATCTTATGGGCTTAGCCTGGATATCCAAACATAGAGCCCAAGCACACTTAGAATGGGGATTTGCCACCGCCATTGCCATCCACAACCTAGCAACGCCTAATCGCCATTTAGATCAACAGTTCAGTGTGCAGTTCAAGCCAGAAAAACCCCTAATTGAAACCCTGACAAAGAAGAAGTGAAAAGCCGAAGGAAGAATCAAGAGAATCATGGACAGAGAATGGGGCTCCAGACGGAAGCCATGGACCGTCGTGAGCGCCTCCGTCGACTCGCCTTCGAGAGTCGAAACCATTGACCTCACCAAATATCCCTATTTCATGCGCAACCACCTCGGCAGGTGTATAATTATCTACCAAATTCTCCCATTTTTCCTTGGAAGTTCGATATTTTTTTTTTTCAGATTAAAATAATTAATTTTAAATAATACGACGAATAAATAATTTTTTTTAAGTATAATATTAATTAAAAAATTTATAATTCAAATATCATAATAAAAAATTTTTAAATTAAAATATCATATTAAATATTTTATTATAAATCAAAAATTTTTTCTACAATAAACCTAAAATGCATGTCATACCCAAAAAAAAAAAAAAATGAAATGCACGAATCAGAACAAGGTGCAAATAACAGAATAATCATTGAGCATGTGCTCCAAGAATGTCATAAAACAGAAGAGTTGGGCCGGCAGGACTCCAACAGATCCATGTGTATTTGAGGTACATTTTGTAGCTTTTCTATAAGCATAATTTTGTCCTGATTGTTTACCTGAAATAGTATAGATTTTTTTTTTGTTCTTGCATAATTACAACCCACTCATCGAAACATTATAAAGAAAACAAATCCAAAAGTTTAGAGGACATGCATAAAACCCAATGAACAGGATATTTCCTCTGTCGAGTCATCTTAGCAACTCAGTCAGCAGTACAACTAGTTTTCCTGCGAACATGGCGAAGCATGGAAGACTGTCAACCTGTTTTGAGTACCCTTATCTCCTCTTCAATAAGGAGGTTTTGTAATCAATATCTGAAAATAGTAGATTACCATTAGCAGCTGGGCAGGCAGAAACAACGTCTCAAATCAACTCTATCTATTTATAGCTTATGCTCCATTGGGTTAATGCTAGTTTTTGTATCTTAACTTTGAAAAAAATGTATAAATTAATACTTAGAAATATAAAATGTATAAATTGATACGTAAATTTTCAAATTGGGTAATATTTTGAGTCATTAATTACCACCTTCAATCAATTTATATATGTGATTCGTGACCAATAAAATAAGATCATATGCACACCACGCACCAAATAAAAAATTTACAATAATTTTTCAATTTTCACATAAATGCCAAATGACAACCTTTAAATTATTATTAAAATACTCTTTTATTTATTTATTTTTTTTAAATCAAGAAAAAAGACAAGAGAATGGAGAAATGCATTTCCTCTTCCTCCGTTTTTTGTTCTCGATTTTTTTTTTTCATTTTTCAAAAAAATCATAAAAAAAAAATTTATTAATATATTTTTAATTTTAATTAAAAAATTACATATTTTAGTCACCAATCATGTATGGTGATTAAAAATATGTAATTTTTTAATTACATAACAAAAATAGCGAAAACAATCACCAATATGTAATCCACACATCTTGTAGCGAAAACAATACCAGCAACTTGTCCCTTTCCTCGCATATGCCAACGTAATTTGTCCAAACAAATGCTGAAAAACTTCCAAACAAGTAATAATGACAGAAAATCATGTGAAGAAAGGAGTATAACTTCTTTTTTTTTTAATGATAATTGATTCGTTCTGCCGTTTATATGGGACTAGCATTACTTTTGTTTGTAATAAACTCACTCTTCTCTCAATTTATTCTAAGAATCTTACAGTCACAGACTTCTGACACGTTACTTACTAAATGGGAGGTTCAAAATCCCAAGGCCATCTCACATGCGAAGCATTCACCTTTAGCTAGAATAGGTGGTCGGAAGAGATTCAGCACCGGCAAGGTGGAAGGTAGATAAGGTTTCTTGGATTTGTATAGCAAGGAAAATGGGGCGGCATGGGATTTTGCTTTTCCTTCTTTTCTAGAACGAATGGATCAAGCAAAGGAAGTAGGGGACATGTCCTTCCAATATTTTTTATTTTTATAGAATTGGAAATTCTTACAACAAGGTGACATTTAGAAGTTTCTATGAGCCGATTAGGCTAAACTGACGTTTAAAAATTTTTATCCGGGGTCCAACTCGGCAGTCGGCATGTTGGCTCAAATAGGCTTGAAAATTTTCTAAAAAAATATTAGAATCTGACAACTCTTTTCTCAAAATTAAGAAGAAAAAAAGAAAACTTCAAATTCCACACCCAAAAGTAATGCCAAGCCCATCCTAAAAGCCTTGTCTGGTTAGTCATTAACGTCAAGCCTAGCCCATCCCGGAAAGAGTTGGTGAAAGAGTTGGTTCAAATGCTCTTACTTTTGGGCTGAGATTTTCACGACAAGTCAACAACAACTCCATTAGCTAACTAGTAAGCTTTTTTTGTTTTACAATTCCAATCACCCGATAAACCCTGACTGAAAATGCCTGTGGCCTTCCGTCGCTTTGTCACCTCCATTTTCCAGAAAACCCCACAAAACCTCCTTTATTCCCCTAATGAAAAAGCAAATCTGTATGCATATACACTTCCCCTGTGATTTTTTTTGATGTTTTCTGTTTTGAATTGGTGTTGATATGAGAATGCAGAGTTCATATTGCTAAATATGTTAATAATTTGAGAAAAAAAAGTTACAACAATAAAATTATTTCTTCTATTAATTGGATTTTCAAATTCTACGGATATGATTACAACTTAAAGGTGAATGAAAGTTCATAATCTTTATTTCATCTTACAATAAAAAATTGGATTGAATTTCATTTTTAAATAAAATTTAAAGATTTCTTTGAGTATCATATCGTTTTTAGTAAAACTTAATTGTTTCTTTCCTTTCCATCATAAACTCAACGACGAAAGATATCCATTGGTTTGCCCACTTCACAGAATCAGACAAGTTAAAGGCCTATTGCTTTCTGACACGGGTAAGTGTTTGTTCAAATCAGAACTTATCCGGTGTCTAATTGCAATCATTGCATAAATCACGCTATAAAGGATGAACAGTCACTGAAAACCAGGCCATTTTTACACTGTTCAGAGGCAGATTCCTACCAGGCAATGCATTAAAGGAACAACATTAAAATTCACTTGCACTTGAAATTCTATAAGTCAGCTTTGAAAAGCGCAGATAGAAAGAAAGAGAGTAAGCTTTATTACACTGGTGACTAGTTCAGTTCATACAGCCGGGTTTCTCTTCTCTCTTTCCTATTAAAACACAGCTTCAAAATGGCGGCTACACTGGCTATATATAGAGCTCGGGCTGATGATTATGATCATCTCATCATCAATCTTCTTCTTATCCAACGAGTGTAGGAAGAAGTTACTTGCTACTTTGATTCTCTTAGTGGCTTTCTAAAAGTTTTAATGTTTCTACCAGGATTGATGGGAAGCGCATTAATGTGTACACATCTTCTCAAGAACGTTTCACCTGCATGGCTAACTAACCAATTATCTATTTTCTCTTTGGTTGAAAATGTTTTTGACTTCTTATTGTTTTCAATGCTGGCTATTACAGGGAAGCTAGCCATGGGGGGCACTGTTGAACAGTATGTCATTCCTTTTCGCTTGATGTTCCATCGGTTTCTTTATAATCAGGTTATCATAGAAGAATTAGTATTCGATCTCTGATTCGTTAATTGTATTGAGATTGTTTGAAATTTATCAGATATTATTTTGATGGACAATAATATTTGTAAAAGAAGAATTTTAAGAGAAAAAGATTTTAATAAATAAGTTTGACTTTTTAAGAAAAAATTTTAAAAGAAAAAGAATTTTAATAGACAAGTTTGACTTATAGAAGAAAAATTTTAGAGGAGAAGAATTTCTTAATAAGTAAGTTTGAATTGTTATAAACAGTTAAAGTCTTTACAGGGTTAGATATGAGAAAAAGATATAAGAGAGTTGTAGGGTTTTGTTAGAATAGATACCTCATAGTAGTATTTGGAACTCTACGTCTTATGAGTGTATATGTTTGTGAGTGGATTAGAGGAGACTGAGAGGTCTACATAGGTATGATGTATGGGAGCATATGAGTATATGTTTGGTTATGTTGAAAGGGTGCACAAGAGTTTGAGTTTGTGTTTTTTGGATTAAGAATATTTTATAGGACTAGAAGAAATTGAGAGTGTCTTATGTGTATTGATTGTTGAGTAAAATTGATGATTTGATGTATGTTTGTAATTCTCTACAATTAGTGGATTTTGTTTCTCATCTGTGGATGTAAGTTAGTTGAACCGAACCACGTTAAATTGTTGTCTCTTATGTATTTATTGTTTGATTTTACTTTTGTTTATGTGATTGGATTAGAGACTTTTAGCCCAACAAATTGTGTAAGCAGTGGGTCGAAAACAAACAAAGCTGACATGTAAGGGTAACATTAAAAATTAATGTACAAATTTCCATGATGTAATCATCATTTATCACTGGTGTTTGATCTTTGTTTGAAGGCTGTTCCGACTTCCAACATCGAATGGGGCAAGAATTGGCTGGTGAATGACATACACCCATGACTTACATATCTTTGAGTATCATATCTTTTTTAGTAAAACTTAATTGTTTCTTTCCTTTCTACGACAAACTCAACGACGAAAGATATCCATTGGTTTGCCCACTTCACAGAATCAGACAAGTTAAAG